CTAACCTTCCCAGGTCTGCTTCCTCATCTACAGAGCAGATTGGAGGAGGGCATTCTGAGTAGATTTCAGGTCTAAACTCTTTTGTCCTTTAAAAAAATAAATTATTTTTGAAGTTTATTTTGGTGTGTGCTGGCTTACCATGCCAGCACTGTATATGGATTCGGTTCTTCCTCCCATCATGTAGATTCCAGGAGTGTGTTTACCCACAGAACCATCTCTCTAGCCCTCTAAAGTCTGGATATTGTGCTTTCTGGAAAGCAGGATTACCCTACTAAGAAAATGAATCACCCTAGTTTTACTTCATAAATGGGGAATTTGCTGCTCTATACTAAGACAGGTTATCAATTGTGAAAATCTAAAAAGCTTTCATGCCATTTACCTTTGTGTCGAGGTACTCCCTCCTCTCCACCACTCACTACAGAGGTGGGAGACACTATGAGGTTGGAAACAGGTGTTTTTCATATTTATATATTGAGTAAATGAGTGAATGAATATGCTGAGCTCACAGTCATTGTTGGGGGCAGATGAGGCCACATCTTTCAGATCATGTCACCTAGTAAGAGTCTTTAAAGATTCCTGAACACAGGATTAGACAGCAGCAACTTTTTCTCTGTGGCTTTTTGGAGTAGTTTCTGGATGTGGGACCAAGCTGTTAAGGGCTATATTCTGACCTGTGATGCCATATTCAGTGTTAGGAGAAGTGTGTAGTCTTTTCCAGGGCAGCACCTGGTCTCAGAGATGCTTTTCTGTCCCCAGAGCTCCTGCTTGCTGTCTGGGATCACTTTTGGTGTTTGTCATCAGAGCAGCATTCACTACTACCTCTTCTTGGGCTCTTTAGGGATGATGCCAGTGGCACTTTGACCGGTGTTCCCCAGTGTGGAAGCATCTGGTGGTTTGGGTTTAGCTGTATTTTAGTCCAGGCAGGAAGCTGTAAGGGCAGTCCCATTAGCCACTGGAAGATTCTTCAAAGATATGAGGGATGTCTTGCTAAAGGAAGATCCTCTCTAGTGCCAGTGTTGGTACAAGGTAGAATCTCCATGCCTGCAGGTGCACCCAGCCCGATGTCCAAGGCATATGGCCAAACACAGCTGTGAAGTTGGCCCAACACAGAATTGTAAACGTATTTAAAACTCGATTAGATTATTTTCAAAGGCTCCATTGTGAGCTTTGTAGGTGACAGCCTGTGTCGCAAGGTCAGAGGGTGGGGCTCGCTGAGCAGTCAAGCTCATGTGTTTGTGCATTCTAGTTTGTTTCTTAAACACTCATACCAGGGCTTAGTCCTTTGCCTTCCACATTCCGGCTGAGCTTTGGATATGAAGAAGAGTGTGAGAAAACTGTGCGTGTGATGACAGATGGGCTCCCAGGTCAGCCCTGGGAGCAGAGGGTGTGGTGGCAACAACAGTGACCACAGTGAGCTGAAAGGTGGGTCTATTTCTCAGTCTTGCAAAAGTGTTTCCTTTTCCAAGGTGAACTGGCTTTTTAAAAAGTGTATATATGAAAATTTTGGCTTTTAAAATTCCACTGGATTTTTAACCTCATTGGAATTCAAATGAAGCTTGTCTTGGGGACAATACTAGGTCACAATCATCAGTTTGCAATGTCTGCTATGTGTCTGAGTAGGTTGACTTATGGGATGGGTTCCAGGGTTGTCTCTGCATAAGGGGTGCTGAGGGCCCTGGGAAGCTGTATGTGTGTGTGTTTGTGTGTGTGTGTGTGTGGGGGGGGTCTGGCCATCCTTGTTGTGGACATGGAGGAGTCTGCTATGTAAAGTACAAAGCAACTTGGGGAACATGTGCAGGTCTGTGTGTGTAGGTTGGTCAGAGGACAACTTGTGTTAGTTCTCTTATTCCACTATGCTGCCTCACTGGCCACCTAAAAATTTAAATGCCTAAGTAGTCCATAAATGCAAACAACAATGATGATACAGGTGTCTATCTGGCACAAATATTTGCCACCAGGATTCAGCAGTAGGTTGGAGGCAGTAAAAGAATCTACGTTTTGATTCCTAATCCTTCTGGGATATGCAGTTCTTGAGTTAGTTTTGAAAAGCAAATAAGAATTAGCAAGTATACCACTCTTGTCTAAGCCTTCAGGAGTCAGGGGCTGGAGGTGACCAGCAAGGGCCACTTGGAAGAAAAGAGACCTTAAAGGTTGCACAGAATTTAGCAGGGAAGGTGGCAGTGACACTTGGGTGGAAATGACAAAGTGATTGGAGCTGGTAGACCGTTAATCTGGCAGGAATTGGGGGGACATGGAGTGGCGAGATACAAAAGCAAGGTGGAAGAGAGGAGGTAGTCGAAGAAACCTGATCTGGCAGCAAGGACAACAGGGCCATTGGGCAGAGTGGGGATACAGTCTGTGGCTCTCATATACCTGTCACTGATCTCTGTCAGGGTGTTGCTGGTGATGGAGAGTTAATTCTGGTACCTGATGGCTAAGCCCAGGATACTTCCTGTTCCTCTACTGGCTCCTTGGCATCTAGCCCATTGGGGCCAGAGGTGGCCTTTGCCTGAAGAGTAAGCAGCAAGACTAAGCCCCCTCTTTGTACTAATTTGAACTTAAATTTTGGTCATGTGGTTGTAGAAAGGCTCTGGGCTACTGCTCTCTGCTCTGATTTCTTCATTTGTGAAATGGAAATGGTACTGCATTTAAAGGTGGTTGTCCTTACAGCATGATTTCTAGATATAGTCATGCTTCATGCTTACATTGGACACCTGCTCCAACCTGGGTGCATGGCACAAATGACCACAAATACCTGTCTGGTTGGATGTGAGTGCCCGTATTGTGAGACAGATAATACAGTAATTATTGTCCCCCAAAGGACAGTGTTAAGCACACAGCAGAACCAAATAAATATTAACTATATGGGGTTTGTGCTTGTAAGCCTAAGTCTTTTTCGGGGAGGGGGTTCAAGACAAGGTTTATCTGTGTAGTCTTGGCTGTCCTGAAACTCACTTTATAGACCAGGCTGATCTCGGCCTCCTCAGTGCAGGGATTAAAGGCATGCTAACCCAGTCTCTCTCTCTCTCTCTCTCTCTCTCTCTCTCTCTCTCTCTCTCTCTCTCTCTCTCTCTCTCTCTCTCTCTCTCTCTCTCTCTCTCTCTCCCTTCCTTCCTCCCTCTCTTTCTTTCTTTCTTTCTTTCTTTCTTTCTTTCTTTCTTTCTTTCTTTCTTTCTTTCGATGCTTTTCCCCCTCCCAGTCTTTATAGCAATTGATTTGTGATTAATTAGAATCTCTTTTTAGTTAAAACTACTTTCTTGGGAAAGACAATCATGAGACTGGCTCCTGGTCATGCGTTCTTTTTTTTTTAAAATTTGTTTCTGAGAATTTCATGCATGTATACAATGAGATATCATATCTACTTCCTATTTCTGTTTTCAAACTCCTCTTTTATTCCCTCCATTATGTGCCCTCCCAACTTAGTCTTTGTTATTGTTTGGATAACCCACCTAGTCCAGTTAGTGCTGCCTGTATGTGGGGGGTCTGGGGCCATCTTCCTCCCCCAGCAGCCAGTAGTAGCTCCTTGTGTAAACTGATGACATGACCACTTCATGGTGTGGTTAAGGGGGAGGTTTATATTGTAGATATGAGAGAGAGAACAGAGTTTTAGAGTCCAGAGCACAGAAAGTAGACTGGACATGGCCAGGAGTGTCAGTGAGGGAGGGGTGGACAGTGAACAGGAGGGGATAGAGAATAGAGAAAACCTGGAGAAGCAGGAAGAGAGAGAGAGAGAGAGAGAGAGAGAGAGAGAGAGAGAGAGAGAGAGAACACACAGCATGCCTAGCCAAAATAGCAGGGTTGTAAGGAGATTAAGTAGTTGGTGGGAGGGAAGCCAGTTAACTGGGAGAGGTGAGAAGAGCTAGGAGCTAGGTCCTTGTGAAGCTGAGGGAGCCTGGACACCAGCATGGGCTTTGGTATGCTAATAGGCAGCACAGGTAGCCATTTGTCCCTCCTGCCAGTAGGAAGGGAGGGAAATGACTCCTTTTGGTAGAGGGGAACCGGCTTCACAAGTTCCTGAGGAATGCTGGTTCTTATCTAACCTCCAGAGATCCTCCTGTAGTCCAGGCTGAACCCATCTCTGGATATCTGGACTGCTTTTTTGGAGTTTGGGGAACTGGAGTTTCCTTTGGATCTGACACTCCTTTGGCTGGTCACTCACTCTTTTATTTTTCTGTGGCACACTCACATTGTTTTACAATCTGGAAGGCTTTTAAAACTATTTTAAAAAGGGGCTGGAGAGATGGCTCAGCGGTTAAGAGCACTGGCTGCTCTTCCAGAGGACCCGGGGTCAATTCCCAGCACCTACATGGCAGCCCACAACTGTCTGTAACTTCTGTTCCAGGGGATCTGACACCTTCCCACCAATACACATAAAATAAAGTTAAATAAGAAAAAAAAAAAACTATTTAAAAAAAGGCAACAACTCAGATTTCACTACCAAAGTTTTGAAAATAGTAACAGATACAAAGTTGAGGAAAAATTGCTCAACTATCATCCTAAATAGACTGAGATCAAAATCCCCTTTATTTTTTCTCTTTATGTATTTCTTGAGTTCCTACTGTGTAACAGTTTGCAACTCCCTCTACCTTTCAACCTCGTGGAGCTATGTCCCGCACCTTGTGACCCATAGACCTGTGTGTAGGTTACAATGAAAAGGCCACTGTTGGTCTGTGACCTCAGTATCTTAGTTTCCTTTGTCTCCTTCTACCTCTTTTGGGAGTGAAAGCTTCCTGGTTAAAATTTGTCCTGAAAGAGCCGTAGCCATTCCCAGGCAGTTCTGTAAGAGTTTTACCAGGCAGGTAGGTGAGTATGGTAGCAGTGTTTCTCCATCAAAAATTGGCATGGTTTGGGGGCTAATTTTAATCCAGCGCAGGATGGAAGAAACTGACTGGGTGATTCTGACTCCAGGGCTAGACGTTAGGCTGTATTCAGATGCTAGGGGGAGCCAAGCTCACAGGCTCCAAGAGCAACACATTGGGTCCTAGAGCCTATAGTGCTCGCCTGGATGTGTGCAGCCAGTCATCCTCATTCCCTTGGGCCACAGGGGGTGGTGACTCAGAGCTGGAGCTGTGTTCCTGCCTGGTGCCTGATTTTGCTTGGGGTGTGGAGAGGAAGGAGAATGAATGAGCAGGAACAGAGTGGCTGCTGGATTGTAACGCCTGGGAGCAGTTGTGGAGAACTGAAATTGAGAAAGCAAGAGCAGGCAGCTGGGAGTCTTCCTCTCTCAGGAAGCCCGGAGCTGAGTGCAGCCTGCCCTGAGCTGAGTGTAGATTTTATCAGACCACCAGGAAAGACACAGTTCTGAGCATGGGGCTCAAAGCGAGTGTGAGCCTGTCGGCAAGAAGGGAGCAGGTGAGTCCTGTATGGTCTGTGAGGATTCAGTGTGTGATATGTTTTGGTTCCTGAAGTTTCAAATGGCTAGGAGTGCCATTACTCAGCAAGAATGCCATTTAATTAGGAAAAAGTAAGACAAAAGTGTCTTGAACTCCTGTGTGTCTCATGTTCTTATGAATGGTTGGCAGGAAAGGAGGAAGGTCCTTTGTGTTTTAAGTTCCCTGTCTTGTGTGGACTAATGATTGGGGTGGCTGGATCCTCACACCTAAAATGTCCTCACTGTCTGGGAGGTTCTTGTAACACCTGGCCCTGTCTTCTCAAGTGGCTGCTGAGGTACCGGCTTAGGGAAGTGCTGAATGGAATTGTAAATGGGTGTTCTGGACTTGAAAATGTCTCCCTTGTACAATACTTCTGTAGGCTGTGTTCCTGGCTGAGCCCAGCCTGTGCCGGAGGTGGGTTTTCTTGCTCTGTACTTTCCGCACCATGGAGACAGACCCTCCGAGGGACAAGGGTGTGGTTGAGGGACTGTACCTGCTGATGATCTGAAACCATTTTGCCTGGCAGGCGAGTTCTTTAAATAGATGTTAACAGGGAGCTGGGGTTTTTATGTACATTAACTCAAAGGGAGGAAAGTATGTGCTTGAGTCTATCTTTGCAGGCTTGCCCTGCTGGAGTTGTGATGCAGAGCAGTTCTAGAGATAGCAAAGGAAAAGCCCAGCAGGCCCCAAATGCCGAAGTGCTTCCCTGCCCGGCCTGGGCATTACAGCTTCCTCATAACCTTGCTGAGTTGGTTTATCTCCTCCGTTTACAGATAAGCCCAGCGCTCACAAGCTCATTCAAGGCCATGTGCACACTGGGCAGAGCTAAGGTTTGAACTCCAGGCTGAATCCAATCTGATCTGTTTGGGTGGCCTCTACTTTGGGGCCCAGGATGAGGAAACCAGAGCCCTGGGAAGTTGAGGAGTCACTGCTAACAAGGCTGATATGGCTTCTTTTGCCCTGTTTCTCTGAAAACTTCCTTCACAAATCGGGGAGGGCTATTTGTGTTTGATTTCCACATTCTAGTAGGAGTTTGTCTTTAATCTTTTCATTCATGATCACAGGAAGCCAAAATTAAAACTCTCTATTCAGCAGTTGGAATTCTAGGTATGTGACCCCCTGTGGGATGCGAGCTGCAGGCAGCCTTCCTTTTGCCAAGTTACTTGCTTGGAAGAGGTATTTTACGTATGGAGTGGCCACTGGGTGGATCTGTAAAACCTATGACCTGAGAGAGAGAGAGAGAGAGAGAGAGAGAGAGAGAGAGAGAGAGAGAGAGAGAGAGAGATTGTGCTAGAAGTCATCAGTCTGTTCTCTCCAGGGGACAAGGAGGACAGAGGTACTTCTTTCTAAGGTGGGCAGTCGTGCTGTGACCCTCTGAGATTCCATTCTTTCTGTGCCTTTTGCCACAGAAAAGGCAGCACCTGAGCACTCCTAGGTGGTGGTCCCAGGGTTTGGCTAGGCTCAAGTTGCTGCCTGGTGTGGGGTGGGTGTAAGCCAGATGTGGGTAGTGTGGGTGCCAGTAGCCCAGCACTGCAATCTTTCTGGCTCCTCAGGGTTGCTTCCAACACTGGCATAGATAGGATCCTTTGTCAGGGCCTTTGTGATGGGTTGATAGACTCTTGCACAGCCTTTTGATGAAGGTGGCTGGTACTCATTTCCAAGGTAACAGTTTGGGTGCCTCCCACATGAGCATCCCTATTCCCATGCTCTAGGTAAAAACACAAGAAATACAGGAGCCAGTCCCCAAGGAACCGAGGATTGGCAGGTGGTGAAGACTGGAGGATAGATAAGTACTAGTTGGGGGAGCCTTCATATCTATCCCTGAACTATGAGCTTACTTTCTGCATTGAGGGTATTAACAGTGGGCCTGAAGAGGCTTCTGGTGTGCTAATGTCTCTTGCTCTGCCAGTAGAAGGCATCTACATCTCGATGGCCAATGACTGTTGGACTCTTGTCTCCATTGCTCGAGTTCTGGTTTCTGCAGGCTTAGGCAGCTATTTCATTAGAAAGGCTCACTAGAAGGTTAGGGTTCCCTTAGTTTTTTCTCACTCACTTCTAAGCACCCCCCCAGCTGCCAGACACCTCTTCAAACTGATACAGTAGTAAAGAGACAGGCTAGATCTGCGTGCCAGTCAAAGAAACCCACAGTAATCACACATGCACGTAGGTGAGAAACATTACAGCTGGTAATAACTAAAATAGGCTGATGTGGTATGAAGCGGCAGCAGGAAGGGCTGAGGTGGTGGTAGCCTTGCCCAGGTCTAAAGGACAAGGTGCCAACTCCATGAACACAGGCAATGAGCGTGCCGACTTCGAGGACAGAGGGTGCCAAGCAGGAAAGGCCTAGATGTTCAGGAAATGAGGTGGGTGGGGACAGAATAGTAAATGAAGAGGCTGCTGCTAGGTAGGGGTCATGTCACCTGAGGTTTTGTTTGTTTTGAGACAGATTTGTGTAGCCCAAGGTAGCCTGGAACTTACTTTGTAGTTGAGGATGACCCTGAGCTTCTGCATCTCCTGCTTCTCCTAGTGTGGATCGTAGTGCCAGCTTATGTGGCAATAGAGATGGAACCCAGGGCTGTGTGTGTACTGGGCAAGCATGTGCCAACTGAGCTACAACCCTAGCCCCTCTTCTAGGGTTTTCTAAGCCAGGGCAAGGAGCTTATTTTCACTCTGGATGGTATCATGCTTCTAGGGTTTGATGGAGGAGGCTGTCATGATCTTACTTACCTTAAAAGACCCTTGAGAGCTTCCAGTGAAGTCACTGAAGCTGAGACAGAAGCAAAGGCTGTGCTTAGGAGCTGTTGCAGAGGCTAATCCGGAGACAAAAGCTAAGCCTGGTGGTTGTAAGGCTGCAATCCCAGCTACTTGGGAAGCTGAGGCAGGAAGATCACAACTGCAAGGTCTCCCTGGCCACAGAGTGAGTTCAGGCCAACCTTGGAAACCTAGCGAGACCCTGTTTCAAAGTGAAAAGTAAAAAAAGCCTGGAGATAAAGTTTTGCAATAGAGCACTTACCTCACATTCCCAAGGCCCTAGGTTCAATTCCTAGTATGGGGTGGGGTGGTATGCGGGCCAGAGGTAAGCTGGAGAGCCGAGGGTGAATGCAGAGCATCTTTGAGAAGAAGCCAGTAGACCTCACATATGCATGCCACAAGTGGAAGTTAGGGTATAGAAGGAACTCCAACGTTTGAAGACATTGTTACTGGAGAAGTCTGGTTTGAGGTAAAGATTGCTTATTCTCCTTTTGTTAAAATGTAGATGTCTGTTTGTTGTTGCCATAGTCAAGGCTCAGTTGGGTTAAACAAACATTGAATGCTTTCTGTATGCTTAAGTGTATATGCCCTTTTATTTTAACCTCTCTTTAAATTTCTGGGAACATTTTAAAATCCCATTTGTAATGATGGAGCTAAGGCTTAGAGAGGTGAGGAGGCTTGCTTTAGTTTGAACCCAGCCCCAGATCCAAAGCTCTGGGCTGACTGGTTGGTTTTTCAGGGCACAGGTTATTGCTTTCCCTTGGGGACAGGATGGGACCATAGGCTGGCTGGTTCATCCAGGCCTGATTCCCAGGCTACAGGAAGAAGGGCTGGCAGGGGAGTGGCTGTGTGGAGAGAGCTGTTGTCAACTGTCTTCAAAACTCTGCAAACTTGAAAGACCACTCTCATAAGATTGTCAGCTTCCTTAGAAGTGCCACATTACCGTGACACTTCCTGTTAAGGGAACAAATTAGTAAAAGTGCTAAGTAAAATAAACCACAAGGAGCTTAGGAAATGTTGCCAATTCAAAGACACTGCTTGTTTTTTTTTTTTTTTTTTTTTTTTGAGAATCTCATCTAGCCCAGGCTAGCTTTCTTATCATGGTATGTGGCTGAGGATAACTTTGAACTGCTGACCTTGTCTCCGCCTCCTCAGTGCTGGGATGCTGGGTGTGGGCCACTGTAGCCTGTTTATGGTACTGGGGGTTAAACCCACAGCCCTGTGCATGCTGGACAAGCACTCTGCCAACTGAGCTGCATCCCCAGCCCTTGAGGAGAGTTTCTGCTCTCCATTACAACCTCTCTGTTGAGGAGCCCAGATAAGAGCTGATGTAGGGAATGCATTTTCTTCTCATTTATGGAGTTTCAGTGTTCATTTTTGAACATTTTCTGGGGCAATATTAGGTGACCCACAATCCTTAGTTCAGCTGAGACATTGAGGACAAAGATAAATTGTACCTTAAGAAGCCTGGAGGCGATGCTGAAGGTGGCTTTAGCCTGAGGGTGACTGTTGGACAGTGTTCTGGGAGGCATGTGGAAGGGTTGGAAGGTTGGGGACAGGGGACTGTCAACAGGCTCTGCTCAGTATGTTTGATGAGGCCCTCTGCTGAATTTGGTCGGATACTTTCCTTACATTTTAAGCTGTTTCTTCTTTTTATAGCTGGGACCAGATAAAAGCTGGTGTTGACAGCACATCTGTCACACTTCACATACCAATGCCACAGCCATCAGAGAGCCACACTCACCAGTGTGCTCTGACCTCCTGCCAAGCCTCTCTCACAGCTTTCCGGATCGCCCTGCATTTAAAAAATAAAAAAATTTAACTTGCTAGATTAATTTGGAACTTTTAATTTAACCAATCAAAGTTACTGCTCCCCCTTTGTTTTGTTTGTTTTCTTTTGGTTTTGTTTTTTTCAAGACAGGTTTCTCTGTGTAGTCCTGGATGTCCTAGAACTAGCTCTGCAGACCGTGCTGGCCTCCAAGTTAGGGACCCTCCTGTCTCTACCTCCTGAGTGTTGGAATTAAAGGCATGCACTACCACACCTGGCTATGCTCATTCTTTATGAATGAATAGTTCACAAAACTTTGCAAGAAACTGTCAGGCCCTCTCATTCTGACTAGCCCCATGTGTTGTGGTACAGGTGAGCTCTGTTGAGCTCAGTTCTCTATTTCCATGGTCCTCTGTATTCTGTTATCAAGGTGTTTGCTGCCAGCCCTCTGTGGGGCAGCCGTGGTCCTTCAACCGCCTAAGGGCTCTTGTGAAGGTATGCTTATTTATCTGTGCCTCCTCCCCTCCATGCTTCCTGGTACTAACTAGCTTACCCTGGCTGCCAGGCCTTTCTGAGAAGTTGCTTCTGGGAGGAAGAGTAGAATTTGAAAGAAGGTGGATTGATGGCATTTAAATTGCTTGGCAGATTGCTTTCTTGGTAGAGCAGAAACTCCGGTGTGAGGAGTTTCTATTTCCTTGAATCCAGTGGCCTGGCCCCCAGCCAGGCCATGTGTGCCATACAGAAGAGCAAGGTGGGAAGTCAGGTTTCAGGACAGGTCTTTCGGGGATGTGTCGATACAGGCCTGAAGAATGCTTCTTGAGTCAGATTGATGGGACATTCGACTCTTTGTGGGTTTTAGGATCAGGAAACAGACTGAAGTTGTAGGGCCAAAGAGGGACAATAAATGAAGCATGACTGGACTTGCAGTCTCCAAGCTTATGTAACAGGCAGCCTTCATTGGGCTGTGGTGGGCCTGGAGCTTTGTAGGAAGCACAGTAGTTGACTGTGTCTGTAGACAAGTTGTCTACCTCTTGTGGGGCTTGCTTTTCTCCCTAATGGCCTGGTGACAACAGGTAACTTGCCTTACCGGTATTAGGTTGAATGTCATAGACTAGGGACCTTACTTCAAAGAGTGCCGAGCCTTCTAGAAGCTCTGCCACAAGCAAGTTGGGTACATTCAATCAAAAGTGATGAAGTTTCAGGACCCCAGTATTCAGGATTCATTCATCCCTGTGGGTCCATCTCCTCTCCCAATGATTATGTCTTTCTCTCTTTTTAAAAATTCTGATAATATCTCATAATCTGGAGTCGTATTTCTTTTATTTCTATCATGGAAATAACGTGATCTGTGCCTCTGGCCTCCTTGGTTACCTGAGAGTGTTGGGTGATGAATGTGAGCAGTTGAAAACTGGTAGGACTGAGGCTGAGGTTGGCAGGAAGAATATTAGGGAAGGGAGTTTGGGGAGCTGCTCTAGGTGTGACCAGGCAACAGCTATTTCTCATCGATGTAACTCATCTTCCTTCTAATGGTAGAGCGCTTACACTTTTGAATTAAGCACCAGCACCTTATAGCTCAGGATTCATGAGCCTGGGGCTCTAGGTTCATTTATGATGATATGAGTTGGGGGTGGGGAGCAGAACAATTGTCCTTAGGGTTGATGTGTGTAGAAAAGGTGGCCACTGGCTGTTGGGGCTGTTCCAGGCACATAAAAGATTTGCCCTGTGTTCCTGTCTACTAGAGGGTCCACCAGCTGACCCTATGATAGGACCAGAGGCTGCTTGGGGTATACTGATTGCCATACAAGTATCATTCAGAACTTTGTTCCTGGGCACAGGGAGACAAGGGGGTAGGTGAAGGTGGCATTGTATTTCTGATGCACTGCCCACAGGGCTGGAAGCTGCCAGTCTCTAATTTCTAAGGGAAAGGAACAACATGTGATCATATAGAAGGCATGGGATTCACAAACAGAATCTAGATACTCGTCTTAATACTCTTCCCTGAAGTTGCCTTGTGCATACTTTCTCAGCCCAGTTTTCTCACTTGTAAAATGTGGAGCTGATATGTTGATAGCTGAACTTGTGAGTAAATGTGTTGTAGACTCTAAAGTGCTTCTGAGGTTTAGAGGAGAGTGGTGGTACTGTTGATTGTTCTCTGTTCTCAGGGCATTTCCCAACGGATTGCACATGGGACCGACCCAGAGTTTACATTCTCAAGCTTACTGGAGATGACTCTATTAAAAAAAAAAAAAAAAAAAAAAAAAAAAAAAAAGCCAGGTGTAATAAGGCCCAGCCCTTGAATGTGATGCAAGGCTGTCTGAAACAGGTGTTGCAGGGGACTGCTCCCATCCCAACTGGAAAGCTGCTTTTTTGGGAAGCCCAGGCTGCTGCCTACCAGATGAAGTCATAGGATTCTGTGGGCTGGCCCCAGAATAGGAATGGGAATTGAGAGACCAGCTGTGCTGGGATGAGTGAAGGTTTGGTAGGGGTGATTCTCCATGGCTGGGTCAGTTAGCAAGCAGCCTGACAGCCTGGTCTGATGGCTTGTTAGCATCTGGGTTGCTCTAGCTGCCAGTGCAACGGTTTCATCACCAGTTCAGAGTAAGGAAAGTCTGGGGCTTTTAGAGATTGTCTTCTTAACCTGTGTGCTGTGCTGATTTAGATCCACTAATCTCCAGAGAGGCTGAGTGCTCAGTGGGGGGTGGGGGGTGAAGCTAACATCTTAACATCACCACACTGTGACAATCTGGCTGGACAGCAGCCAGTAGATCTACTGTTTGTGTTAAGAGCTTTTAAAGAGAGCCTGTACTCTTTCATTTAGTAATTTTATTTCAGCAGCTTTAACTCAATGAAATAATTTGAATTGGGGCAAGGGGTTATCTATACTCAAAGATACTGATTATGATGTGAAGGGACCCCTAAAATATCCAGCATTAGAAGAGTATATGAGTCTAAACTGAAGTGCCGTGGAGTCAGGGTGTAGGAGTGCTTTTGTTCCCCTATACCCCTGCATCCACAGCAATGCCACACACATAGGCAATGTATTTTGAAGTTGTATGAAAAAGATTATGTTCATATGTCAAGTGTTACTCAGTAGTTCAAATGAAGGCATCGGAATGAAAGTGTTTCTCCTGTGTGAGTTATATGTAGTTAGACACACTCACATACACAGTGGAAACCTTTACTTTGTATGTTCATTTTTTAAAAAGATTTTATTTATTTATTATGTATTCAACATTCTGCTTCCATGTATATCTGCACACCAGAAGATCTCATAACAGATGGTTGTGAGCCACCATGTGGTTGTTGGAATTGAAATCAGGACCTCTGGAAGAGCAGCCAGTGCTCTTAACCTCTGAGCCATCTCTCCAGCCCCCGTATGTTGATTTTTTAAAAAGAAAGTTAACATTATATATAAAAACTGAAAAAGCAACATTTGTTTTATTTTTTTATTAGTTCAAATTAGGAACAAGCTTGCTTCACATGTCAATGCCTTCTCCCTCTTCCTCCCCTCCCCTCAACCTCCCCCCACCCCCCCCCCTGCCCCCCCCACCCCATCCACCCTCCACTCCCCAACATTTGTTTTTTAAAGATTTATTTGTGTATGAGTGCTCTATCTGCATGTACACCCTTATACCAGAAGAGGGCATCAGATCCCACTAAAGATGGTTGTGAGCCTCCATGTGGTTGCTGGGAATTGAACTCAGAACTAATGAAGAGCAGCCAGTGCTCTTAACTGCTGAGCCATCTCTCTGGCCCGTAACTTATTTGTATATGTAGAAAAATCTCTACTAGTTTGGGCTCAGCAGGTAAGGTTACTTGCCACTACTCCTGATGACCTGAGTTCAATCTCTAGGACCCATCCACATGGCAGGAGAGAACTCTGGAAAGTTGCCTTCCTACCTCCACTTGTGTGCCCTGGCACATGTACTCTCACCTACCTACCTACAAGCAAACAAATGTAGTAAAAAAAATTCTTTTTTAAAAAATTACCATTTTTTAAAAAATAGAAGGCAATAAATAAATAAATAAATCCCAAACTACCTTGGAAAGAGATTTCCACACATACAGTGATGCCACAGGTGCTTTTTGTTAGTTTGTGTCTAGATTTTATAAAAATCTGAAAGCAACTATGACTTAGTGCTTGGGAAATTCTTTTTCAATCCATCACATTCTCTTTTGAGAAAAGAGATTCATTTATTTGCTTATTTGTGAAACAAACCAGCAGCCTCCAGAGCCAGCTCCGCATCGTTTGAAGCTCCAGGCAGTCTTTGTCAATACACAAAACACCTACACACAGGCCAAGTCTGTCAGCTTGGCATGGAAGCAGCCGCTCCTGTCTTCAAAAGGGTGGTAGAAAGCTTGGGTGTTGGAACCAAGCAGGTCATGTTGCAGGGACATGCCCATACGTTTATTATCCCTTCAGTGAACTGAAGACATTTGGTAGCAGCCCGAAGAATTTTAAGAAGATAGGATTTGCTGGGTGGGTGGTTAATTCTTAGGATTCTTTCCCTGGCATACAGATTGGGGAAGCTGTTGAATGTCGCCTATTTTCCTTCATTCTTGTATCAGCTTGTGCTATCTTAAAGATTTTTTTCTCCTTAGTGTTTCAGTGTATTGGAACTTTGTGAAATAAGTCTTTAATGTATTGTATTTTCCTGGGCATGGTGACACATAACTGTGATCCCACTATGTGCCAGGCAGAGATAGGAGGATTGTCCAGAGTTTGAGGCCAGCCTACTCTACACAAAAATTCCAGGGCAGCCAAAGATATGTAGCTAGATCCAGTTTCAAAGAACAAAGCCAGCTGGACACTTAGGAGTCAGAGGCAGGGGATCTGTGTGAGTTTGAGGCCAGCCTGGGCTATATGTATAGTGAGTTCCAGGCCAGCCATGTTCCTCCTTCCCTGAGGAATATTTGATGTCCTGGCTCTCTAGGCATACTGATCTCTTGCTGTACTTGTTCCCTCATTTATGTGACTTCTCATCTCTCTCTCTGCCTCTAGCCACAACCAGCAGACCACAACCTTCAGGCATCCTGTGACTGGACAGTTTTCTCCAGAAAACAGTGAATTCATTCTTCAGGAGGAGTAAGTATTTCTTTATGTTCTTACTCAGGAAGAGTTTGAGAGCTTGGAGACATGAACTCAAAACACAACTTGCTTGGCTGTTTCTGCTGCTTTGGTTTGTTTGTTTTGTGGTCAGGTAGAGGGTCTTGGAGAGGATTGGTTGATTCAAAGTGAGAGGAGTTTTATTTTTCAGTCTGCACGTGTCTAGCAAGAGGATGTGGGTGTGGAGAGGCTGCAGAATGTGCTATGAAAATTCTCTTTCTGCTGAGCCATCAGCCTTGCACACTAGCTGTGTTCTCACCCTCATCTTCAGGGAAAGTTTCAGAGGTAAGATTGGGTGCTGAGACTACCTGCAGGAATTCCCAGGTTCTTGTCCCTGAACAAGGATTTGGACAGAGATAGTGGATCATAACAAGAAAGTTTGCAAAGAGAAAAAAGCTTTTCCAAGTGTGGAAACAGGCCAGAGCTGGAAAAAGATCAAAGGCTTCGCAGCAGATGCTATACGAAGGATTGGGCTAGTATATTCCAGTATGGTGGGCTGATGGATAGCCCACATTTTTCTTTACATGTACTTTTACATGTCAACCTTGGTGGAGAGGAATTCCAGTCTTTCTTTCACATGCTAATTATGACTTAATTTCCATCCTACTGTCTTGCTACAATTGCCCATAAACATAACCTCTAAAGGGATCAAGTAGGAACGCAAAGCTGGGGGTCTAGAAGAGAGGAAGCAGATCTTTGCTCATCTCCATGGTTGCCAGGTAGAAAATCCTTATGGCTGTACTTACTCATTGTGCTGAGTGGGCTACTGTTGCTGTTGTATAGAGATTCTAATTGTAGTTGAACTCTAGTAACGTTAGGCTTGCTTCAAAGACATCACGCTTCCTCTGCTGCCTCTTCTGTAGGATCCCTTCTCCAACTCTGTGTTATAGGGTCTCATTGCTCATGATCTGATCATCTATGCTGCTCCTCTGAAGCCTCTTCCTGATGCTCACTCAATTTCTTCAACTATCACAGGTGTCTGGCCCTTTTTTTGGACTGTCCTAGTTTTATTTCTGTTGCTGTGATAAGATATACTGACAGAGCAACTTAGCGGGGCGGGATGGAGTTTATTTCAGTTTACAGTTCCAGGTTACAACCTGTCATTATGGGGAAGTCAAGTCAAACAGCTAGTCACAGCACATACAGTCAAGAGCAGAGATAAATTAATGTGTGCATGATTGTTTGCTGCTTTCTTGTTTGTACTCAGCTTGATTTCTCTACTCTTAATATGGTTCAGGGCCTCCTGCCTAGAGGATAGTGCTGCCCGCAGTGGACTAGGTCTTGCTATATCAGCTAACTTAATAAGACAGTTCCCAATAGACATGCTCACAGGCTAACCCAATGTAGACAACTCCTCATCTAGACTCTCCTTGCAGATGATCCTCAGTTACGTCAGGTTGACAATTAAAGCTAACCATCACAGTAGCTAACAGGGACTTGGAAGGTCCAGGAATGTCATTTCCATATCTGATCCTCAAGCACAGGCACATACTTTCTTCTCTTCAGTACTGCAGTGCCTCTACAGCTTTGGAGAAGAGGAGAGGTGCATTCCTGAGCAGTGACTGCAGCTGGCTGGCAGCTAGCTATGTGCACCAATCCTAAGACTCTGCAAAGCATTTCATGTGGAGGTGGGGCCTGAGTTGAGAGTGCACTTGCTTTGGAAGTTCTGAAGTCCACTATTGTGCTGAGCAACTAACTGCAAGTCATGTGGGCTCCCTTGGGGAATCCTCACCAAGGGGACCCTTACTTGGCCTGCCCTTCCCTGTGCCCAGTGAGTTTCATCTGTCCTCCCATTCCCATTTGTGTATTTGGAAAGAAAACACTGGTTGGAGTTGCTGTAATGTTGTGAGTGGTGTTTGAAGACAGCTCTAAGAGAGATCTGAGCTTGCTGAAGAAGGTAGGCAGTCTCTTACTGAACTTCGAACCCTTTGCAGAAGAGGCTTTATTTTACGGGTTTCAGGGTAAAATTCTCCTGAAGCTGGTACAGATTGTGGGCTTAGGTGGGAATCTCCTGCTGCTAGGCAATTCTGCATCCTGCTCTTCCTGCAGCTACATGTTGGTAAAAGCTGGCGGCCAGAGATGAGAGCCGGTAAGCGTGGGGAGAAGGCACTCCAGCTCCAGGAGGCCAGCCCACACTCATCACTGGGTTCTGGGCTATGGGAGACTCATATGTTGCAATCAGGGGCTGTTAGAGCCAGCACCTTGTCTCCAGACACTGATAGTCTGGGGCTAGCTTTGCCTGTTGCATTTGGTTGCCATGGCAGCAGAAAAGATGAGGAGAAATGCAAACACCTGGCAAGCAGATGCAGAAACTTGACTGGTTCCTTTCCGGATTATCAGCAGCATTTGTGACAGTCACAGGTAAGGGGAGACATAAGGATGGGGCTCATAGTTCACTCAGGGCCTAGTGGCAGTTTTTGGTATGGGTGTTTCGAAGGGCATTGTCAATTGGGAAGGCAGTCTTTGCTATATGACACCCACATCTTTTGGCTCCTCTCTGCCGGCCAAATATGCAGTCGTGGTGGCTTTGCTGTGTGGAAGGGAAGCAGTTGCTCAAAAATGTAAGTCTTGCATCTTTCTGTGACTTCTCTAGTGCTTTTCTTTCTCCTCTCCACAACCTGGGGATTGCTCTGACTGCCATTTAACAAATCCTGTAGTCTGATGAGAGGGGTGGCTGCTTGGTGGAACAGGCAGGAGAAGCAGGCAGACTGGAAGGGGGCAGATTAGAATGTGAGCGTCTCAGAGGTCCATGTCTGCCTGCACAGACAGTCATGGAGTCTGGAGAGGAGAAGAGACTAGCCCAAGGCAGTCCAGCTTGGGGACTCTGATGCCAAGTTCAGGACAATGCTCTGATTGAGGGGTGGGGGCACAACTGTCTAGGCTGTCTTCATGCCAGGTGAGGGGGTGCTGTTGGGCTCTTTTCCAGCCTGTGTTTAAGGAATTGAGGGGCACTGGGAAACCGCATAGTAGCTGTGGTGGACTGAGGCTGCAGTTGCTGCATGAAATCCCGTGTCAGATAGCCTCTCCCAGAGTGTTGGGAGTTGACAGTAAGTGTTGTCAACCTGTCTATGTCTCTTTACTCGGGAAGAGGGTTTTGAAGGTGTGTCTGCCTGCTTAGGACAACAAGTCATTTTCCCTCCCTCCCTCCCTCCCTCCTTCCCTCTCTTTCTTACCTTCTCTGCCATCTTCATTGTAGATTGTGCTCCTTAAATGTGTACTTGTGTTTACAAGTGTGCCCACTCTTGCATGTAGTCTTCCATTCACAGCCATCACACAACTGAGTTCTCTTGTTTCTGGAATCCTTGAGGACAGACAGAAGTTGGGGTCCATTTATCTAGAAATTCATGGGATAACATTAAATGAGGTTTTTTTGGGTTTTGTTTTCTTTTGCTTCAGTGCTGGGGATCAAATTGAGGGTCTTGTCCACACTAGACAAGTATACTACCACCCAGCCATATCCCCAGCCCAGTAAGGTATTTTTAGTAATAGAGTTCTGTTTCCCCATAACTATCTGACTTCCAGCCATTGTCTGGACCACTAGAAGGGAAGCCTGCCATAGTCTCTATACTTGGCCTAAAAAAGTCGCATGTAAGGTGTTGCTAAGAAACCATTGTGGTCTGAGCTAATCGTTTGGCATCTTGAGCTTTCTGGAGAGAAGTGGCTTAGTAGTAAAAATAAATTATAAATGGAATTTAGGTTCTGGGGTCTCCAGTGATAAAGCAGGAATGGTGCTGATCTTACAGTGCTCCAGGTTCTCAGAAGTTGTCTTAATGCACATGCTGCCTTGGGAAGAGAGGTGATTTTCACCCCATTTAAAATGGAAACTGAGGCTCAGAGAGCTGATTTGTGGAATAGTCAAAACATGTCAGAGCTCGGCTGAATTCTCTGCTCTTGCTCTTTCCACCACCCCAGGTTCCCTGGTTTGGGGGTTGGCCTTGGGGCTGTTATAGTCAAGGTCTATATCTCACAGACCTTGGAACTTGGCACTTGGATCTTGGAATCTCTTTACGGCAGACCCCACCCAGTTCATTGTTTTTAACTTAATTTAATTTTTTACAGTACTAGGCATTGAAACTAGGTTTTCATGCTTGCTAGCAAGCACTCTACCACTGAGCTACATCCAAGCTCTCCTTTTACTTTTTAAGATGGACTCTTGTTAAGTCCTCAGGCTCGCCATGAACTTCAATTCCCCTGCCTCACTCCCAGGGTTTTAAAGCATAGCCAATGTCTTAGGCAAGTCATTAATCTGTTTGGAGCTTAGTGTTCACATCTACAAAGTGGGGGTGACAAAACTGACTGCATAGCTGAGAGAATTCAGGGGAAGCACCTGGCACTTTGCTGTTCATGAAGCACTGGCCTCGTCCCATCCCCTCTCTGCCCGCCACTTGCTGTACTTTGTGCACCTGTCCCTCGGAGCGTGGTTGACCTGTCTGCAGTGACTTGCAGAAGGGAAGGGTCCTGCCAGTGCTCAGAGCAAATGGCTTCTGTATTTATAAGGGCTCTTGCTCTGCCTGTCAGGTTATGTGCACTTTGTCTTGAGGCAGAGAAGGTCACTTCTTGGCTATGTTTGGGATAGAATCCAGCCCTTTTCTAGTGGGTCCTGGCTGATTTTGTCTACTCTTCATTTCTTTTGTTTGGTTATGACAGGAGGCAGCTGAGCTCAAAGTTTAGCTCACTGTTTTGAACTTCAGCCCACACCCCTGAATCAAAACAATCTGCATTCATGTAGCTTAAGTGAAGGAAAGGGAGGTCTTTGTTTCAACCATCCCACTGTACTGGGAATCCAGACAGCACAGAAACCCAACAAGCGGGCTTCCAGTGAATAGACCTTCTTTAAGGACACTAAGAGTCTGAGTATGCAGGTTCTGTGGTCTCCTCTGTAGGGTGAGTGTGCCCGAGGACATGCTGATGGGGGAACTGCATGTCTTCTGGGCACATTTCTCGGGTGGAACTTATTGGTGGAGCACATCCAGGCTAAGGACTTGAGGACAGATCAGTATGTCTGCCCAGCCACACTCTTCAGTGGGGATCTTGCCTATCCAGTGAGCCTAACTGAAGCAAATGGATCAGAGCTCCCTTTGTTGAATGATGCCCTGTTCACTGATTCTGAGTTTCCTGGCTTATCTGTCAGGCTTCATGAATACACCACAGGTACTCCCATGCTTAAGTCAGTGGGGGTTAAACCATCCTGTAAACTCCCATGAATGCCAGTTTTTCAACCAACTGAGAAAGTTGTTTTGATACTTTCTCATATCTATTTTTGATATAAAATGGGTTACTAGTTGTGATTCTAGTAAATAACTTGTAGTCATTTCCAAAGTCGTCATTCAGTATTACCCAGGGTGAGGGGATTTGGCAAACACACTCTGAAGGCCAGCCTTGTCTTAGATGGGTGGGCTACATGTGTGTGTCTTGTTCTTTCAGAGACCTGGGTCAGGCTGCATGTAACACTGAACACTGTTGATTGAATGGAAATCTTTCATGCAGTGTTAACAGACAATGCAGTCACCTCCCTAGGGCAGATTTGGGGTTTTCCTTTCCTTCTCTGCCTTCCACTGCTTCTTAGATGTCAGCGTTGTAACTATAACCAGCCTTTCTCCAAACCAAATCTCTCTATAGCTGACTCCTTCAGCAGGAGCTCTGTCTTCTTCTCACCCAAACCTGTGGCTGAGTTTTATCTTTCTCCTCATGTATCAGCTGAGAGAATTCCATCCCTCTAGCACTCATGGCCACAGGTAAATTTAGGATGGCCAGACTAAGGCGAAGAAATGGTAAGGTGCTCACTCATTCTGGGTTTCCTAAGCCAGCCACAAATCCAGATAGTCATTTTCTTTGTCCTATAGAGAAGGCATGAGGGAGCTGGGAATAAACAGTGTCATATTTATTTAAGATGACTTGGGTAATTTAAAAGGGCGGCTATACAGAGAAACCCTGTCTCAACCTCACTCACCTCCCCCCCAAAAAAGTGATGGGAAAAACGTTTATATTAAAGTGTGTGTGTATGTGTGTGTGTACATGTTTTTGTTTTTTTTAGAGACAGGGTTTCACTATGTGGCTCTGGCAGTGGAACTCACTATGTAGACCTTGCTGGCCTTGAACTCCCAAGATCCACCTGCCTCGGCCTCCTGAGTGCTGGGATTAAAAGTGTGTGTCACTGTACCTTGCATGTTAAAATAGTTTAAAACATCAGGTATAAATAAGATCACAGTTATAGAGAAACACAACAAACAAGCAAAAAACAAAACAAAACAAAACAAAAATAACATTGCTCCCAAAATCAAAGCAGGCATATCGAAAAGGACAGGCATAAATGAATGTTAAAATGTTTTTGCTTTGCCGGGCGTTGGTGGTGCACGCCTTTGATCCCAGCACCGGGGAGGCAGAGGCAGGTGGATCTCTGTGAGTTCGAGACCAGCCTGGTCTACAAAAGCTGGTTCCAGGATAGGCTCCAAAGCCACAGAAAGCCACAGAGAAACCCTGTCTCGAAAAACCAAAAAAAAAAAAAAAAAGTTTTTGCTTTGGGTAGCAGAACTATAGTGGCGGGGTGTGGGGGTGGTGGTGTCCCCCTCTTCCCTTCACCATTTAGTTTTTTCTTGTATTTTCTTAAATATCCTGTAAGGTTTCTATTAGTATCTCAAAGGAAATACAATTAAACTTGATAAAGTCACAGATAAACCTTTTGTGAGATTGGTTCTGTCTTGAGTGTGTGTGTGTGTGTGTGTGTGTGTGTGTGTGTGTGTGTGTGCTGTCTGTCTGTCTGTCTGTCTGTCTGTCTGTCTGTCTGTCTGTGCAGGTCAGAGGACAGCTAGTAGGAACTGATTTTCTCTTTTACCATGTAGGTCCCAGGTACTGAGCTCAGGTCCTAAGACTTGGAAGCAAGCACCTTTATTCTGTCACACCCACCCACTGTTTTAGGTTTCAGTGAAGAGGTGTAACCAACCACAGTAATTGGCAACACTAGAGTTCTCCTTCCTTGTCCCTCCCTCTGGAAAGCTGGGCAGGACCAGGTCCTGGAAAGATGGTTGGTTGTCCTGCTTAGAGGCAGAGATAGGACAAGGCAGCCTCACAGAGCCTCTTCCCACTCACAAACTGATTTTGCTGCCACAGCCTTTGCCAAGGGAGAGGCTGAGCCTGGTGACATTCCCCATCTGAGTAGAGAGCAGTAATAGCATTTTGGCTGAGATGGAAGCTGTGGGCAGGGATTCTGCACGAGCCTAGCTGATACGGACGGAGTCAACCAGCTTTCTGCCTGGTGGGTGGTGCATCTGCCACTGCTGAGCATCTCATGGGGCTGGCTCATTGGGAAGCTTATGCCTGCCTAATACAGGGGAAGCATAGTAGCCACACACTTCTGCAAAGAAGGCCCCTCCTGGGGCAGTGCTGCTGTTATCACTCAGAGCACTACAAGGATCCTATCCTTTGAGCAATGTGGTACCTACCTGAAGGGAGCGTGGTATCTCTAGGTGAAGACTAGAGTTACTCCATCATACCCTATAAAAGTAAGTGATGCAGGACATTCTGAGCACTTTCCTTTCAGCTCTGTCTGGCATGGATCTTCCAACTCTTTCTTTTCAGGGTCCTGGCTAAGTCCTCCGAAGTAATTTTTCTCAACTCCTAAAGCAGGAAGCCTCAATACACTGTACATAGTCAGCCTGCTAATCACCTGCCTGGATCTTGCTGCCCATTGGAGCAGCAGACCAAATGCAGCCAAGGAATGCTGTGGTTTCTGCCTTCGGCTCAGGGACAGCCTACAGATTATTGAACTGTCAGGGTCTTGCCGTCATGCATCATACTGTTGAAGGATAGGTGTTGAGCTTGGGTGAAGGCATTGACACTCCTGTGTGGGAAAGACTGGTACAGATGCGGGCTCCTGGGAAGGCAGGTGAGAATCATGTTCTTCCACATTGCTTTAGAGTAGTACTCTGAGCTATGGCTCTCCCAGAGCCTCTCAGCAGGAAGTCCATGAGGCTGGGAGGCTGATGAGGGAAGCACTAGGGTTCTTTATGGTAGTCTAACGTATACTTCATGACTTCCTGCTGTCCAGACATGGCACAGGGGGTTAATATCTCCAGTGGCTCTATTTTGGGGCAAATGGAGTGTTCCCAGAATAGGACTCTTTGTTGAGTAGTCTATTTTAGGAGGCAAGCCCCACTGGCGTTTATGTAAGCATTCTCTGTGTATATCTGGGGGTGTGGATGTGTGCGCAAGTGATTTCTTGTTACTAATTATAAACAGTTTCTTTTGGGAGACAGGGAAGTGGAGGTGTGTGTGTATAAGGGTATGATGACTCCCTCCTTCTGTGAGGAGTGTTATGCGCCTTGAGCAGTTGCCAGGGACACTCTAGTAGGAGAATGAGTGTGGGCACCTTAGGACCACAGACAGAGAGTGTGGTGTGCACCCTTTTCTGGAATGTCTAGCTGTGGTGGTGTGTCCATCTGCCATCTTACTGGTCCACTGAAGCACAGGGACAGGCGATTTTGTGGCCTCTGTTTATAGTCTGGGAACAAACGGACTCCAAAAATTGGGACCTGAGTTGTTCTGGGGCCAAGCAACCAGTTCCAATCTGTGACAGGTCATAGACTGGGCTTCTCACTCCACAGCTGGACACATACTCACTGGATTCCCCTACACCTCCCTGCAGGCCACACCCACATATGTCGAAGCAAGAGAGAAACCAAAGACCGTCCAGCATGGTCAGTGAGACATCCACCGCTGGGACCACGTCCACCCTCGAGGCCAAGCCTGGACCCAAGGTGAGACCCCGTCATTGGTTCTTCCTGTCCATTCCATATTTTTTCCAAGCCCTTTTGTAACCAGAAGTCTATTTGACTATCATAGTTTTATGGGGTGCACCCATAAAAAATGCTTCCCCAAAACTACGTATCAAGAAATGAAAGCCAAGAGAGGTCATGGCCCTTGACCAAGAAAACAGGTGATTGCTGATAGACTAAGACTGGTGTCTGGTTCCTTGAGTGCATTCTTCACTGTGCTCTGTTCACACGTGCATGATGTTCGATCCTGGCACGTTTCAGTGATAGATAGGCTTGAGGAAATGAATGCCCAGAAGTTTGTTGACTTAGAGAGATGAACCAGAGTGGGGGACCAAGTATTGGATACTGACAAAGTCAAGGACTGCAAAGTGGCTTCATTCCAGAATGCCATAGCCGCATTCTTAATGTTAATGGAAAAGTCCATTAAATTCTGTGTGTGTGAACCAGTTGAGAAGTTTGCTGTGTCTGGGGCTTGCTGTTTGACTTGGAGGGATGCTGTGACCAAGGGTACTCGGTGATAGAAGATGCTGCCACTTAGAGGATGGCTGAGACTGCCAACAGCCCTCCTAACACACAAGCATGCGTGTGCCCCTCCCTCTAAGTCCCCACTGCTAGAACTGAGGTTTGCTTTTCCTAGATCACCAAGTCTAGCAGTAAAGTACACAGCTTTGGGAAGAGAGACCAGGCCATTCGGAGGAACCTCAATGTCCCGGTGGTGGTGAGGGGCTGGCTGCACAAGCAGGTGAGGAGGATGAGGTGGGAGTGAGGAGGAAGAGTGGATTTTGCTTGTTTCTGTCTCCTTTGACCTTGGGAAGCTGAGAATGGCTAGCGAAGCTTCTTGCTCCAGAATTTGTTTGGGGCAGGTGGGTTCTGGCCTCTGTGCCCAATGACCTGTTCATTGATTATGAGTGAACTGTTTGCTCAAGCATTGACACTTCTCTTCCCAAAGCCACTTCACCACTTTGGCCCCTGGTGCTCTTGGTGACCAGGGGCTGGTCAGTGGGGTGTGGAGTGAAGGAGAGAGGGCTGCATATTGGAGCCCAGGCCATAGTGTAAGAAGATGAGTCAGCCAGAACCCAGTTCCACGTTCACCCTCTGTCTGCACCTGTCTTGCTAGTGCTAATGCCTTTGTTATCATTTGGCTGCAAATGTTATCTTTTCCTTGCCTGGGATGTAAGGCTAGCTCACTAGTGCTTGGAAGTCCAAATCTGCCAAATTTATCACTTGCTCTTTGCCCCACCCTCTCTCCAGCTACTTTTTCTGGCTCTTATAATAAGGAACTATCACTCCTTTCTCAGGAGTTCAGAGAGAGACCTCAACACCATCACCTACTCCTTCTTTCCCCACATCTGTTTAGCCAGGTACCATGGCAGTCCTGTATCTTGAGGCTGTCCTTCATCTTCATTACCCCCATAGCTGCCCTTATTGCTTTGTCTCTTGTCTTCCAGCCAGCTGTGAGCTCCTGAGTCCAAAACTATGTCTCCTTGGCCTCTTCCTTTTCTCCTGGTCATTTCTTTATTCATTTGCTCCCCAGGTCTGTGCCATGTTTTGTGGGGCTCACATAGCATTAGTGAAGTGATAAATAAAGTTTCTTCAGGAACTCATCATCTGCAGAGGGAAACAAAGAAGACATCTTTCACATCACACTGTCACCCATCCCTAATCTGTCACCTACCAGCATCTACAGAAGCCAGTCAAACTCCAAGAGCAATGATGCCTATTTGAGGAAAGCCTTTGTGAGAAGGGCTTTGCTTTGTACACTGTACAGGAGGGAAGAGGAGTCCCAGATCCCTTCATCTGTCTCTGGTCATATGTCTCCTTTCATAGTTCTGGGCTTGTCTCTTTTCTTACATGTCTCTGAGTAATTGTCCTATTTGACTTGTCGTATTAAAGGACACTGGTTGGAAATGTGGCAGGAGAGGGAAAGGACTGTAAATAGTTCTCCCACCTCCCACCCCTTTTTGCTGCCCTGCTGCTGTAATGGGTCTGTTCAGAGTATTGCAGACTCACAGCAGAAGGTAGAGCTGTGTTCTCAAAGCCCAAGAAGCAGCATTTGACCATGTATGGAGGATGGATTAATGCCCTACCAGCAAAAAGGAGGCAGATGTTATCTATACTGTAGAAATCATTTGGCCAGTTTGCAGGCCATAGACTGACCATCGGTTGGCAACATTAAGTTAATTTGGTTTGGGTACTTTAATGTATGTTGGGGGGTGAAGTGCATGACAAACAAGCCTCATGTTGTATTTAGGGTTGAAAACTGTTCTGTTTTAACTCAAGCCCATCTGACCAGTAAAGGGCTTTATTTTTTTGTGTATGAATATTTTGCCTGCATGTATGTATGTGTGCCATGCTTATGCCTGGTGACCTTGGAAGCCAGAAAAGGGCATCTCATCCCTTGAAACTGGAGTTAAGACAGTTGTAAGCTGTCATGTGATTCTGAGAACTGAACTGAGGTCCCTGCAAGAGCAACAAGTGCTCTTAACCACTAAGCTATCTCTCCAGTTTTAAGGAAAGATTTTTTTGTTTTGTCTTTTTTTTTTTTTTTTTGCTTTTCAAGACAGGGTTTCTCTGTATAACTGCCCTGGCTGTCCTGGAACTCACTCTGTAGAACTCACAGAGATCCCACTGCCTTTGCCTCCTGAGTTCTGGGACTACAGGTGTGTGCCACCACCACCTGGCAAGGAAAAGTGTTTTATCTTCTATACCCAACTCTGATATTTTCCTAGTCATTGCAGAAAACCGGTATATAATATTGCTGTTTTCCTTGTAACCAAGTTTTTTGTTTGTTTTAGACTTTTGTTATGAGAAAATTTGATTGCAAAGAGAATTCAGACCTTTACACTGAATAGAAAGAAAATAAAATCAGTTCGTGGTAGAGAACAGAGTTGATTAGCTGAGAGCTTTGTCTCTATTACCTAACTTAAAATTCTTCAATACTATGTAGATTCACTTTCTAATCAGAATAAATGAAGATATTTTATAGCCTAGATCCTAAAACAAAACCAAAATACTTCATTTTTTATAAGAATTTATTACCAGTAGTTAACTTCTATTTTTGAACTTTCCTTTCTAGAAGTAAATGGGTTATAATTTGTTCCTAGGAGACCAGAAAAACCTTACTTCCTGCAATAAACTATCAGCGGGTCTAAGTTAATATCTATTTAAAGAGTAGCTATTCAATAAGACATTCATTGAAAAAGGGAGGGAATATAAGCCATCAGTTATTCTAAGTTTAACGTCCTGTTCAGAGAAGCTACTCAATAAGATGTTCATTGGTTTATTGGAAGTGGGGAAGATTATGGGGGCCAGAGACGTTGCTCGGTTGGTAGAGTGCATTCAGGACAAGCACAGGTCCCAGGTCACAGGGCCACATAAACCAGGCATGGTGTTGCACACCTATAATCCCAACACTCAAGAGGTGGAATTGGAAGATTAGAGGTTCAAGTCATCCTTAGCTATGTAGTGAGTTTGAGGCCAGCTTGGGCCACATGAGAGCGTCTCATTAAAAAATAAAGGAAAATAAAAGAGGGCAAAATAAAAGTAAACGAGGTTGTGGTGGTATGTGTCTATAGTCCCAGCACTCAGGAGGCAGAGGCAAGAGAATCTCTGAGTTTGAGGTCAGCCTGGTCTACAGAGTGAGTTCCAGGACAGCCAGGATTACACAAGGACACTCTGTCCTAATAAACAAACAAATAAAACAAACAAACAGGGAAACCCTACCTAGATAGATAGATAGATAGATAGATGAGAAGCGCTGAAAAGTTGGCTCCCTGGATAAGAGCACACACCACTCTTACAGAGGACCTAAGGTCAGTTCTTAGCACCCACAGCAGTGACTCACAAGAGCTGTAACTCTAGCTCCAGGGGATCTAACACCCTCTTCTGGCCCCTGTGGACTCACACACACACACACACACACACACACACACACACACACACACACAGATGAGGGTGTTAAAATACATTTCAATGTTTAAATTTATTTTGAGTGTCTGAGAATCTTTCTTGCATATGTATTTGCACACCATGTGCGTGCCTGGTACCTGTGGAGACCAGAAAAGGATGTTAGATCCTTTTCTGTGAGTTGCCATCTGGGCTCTAGAAATTGAGCCTAGGCCCTCTGGAAGAGCAATTAGAGTGGCTATGGTCAAGTGTTGGCTCCAGAATCAGCTTTACGTGGTGGAGGGGTGTGGAGTGTAATAGGCCGCCCTGACTGATTTTCTGTGCTTTGCAGGACAGCTCCGGCATGAGGCTGTGGAAAAGACGGTGGTTCGTGCTTGCTGATTACTGTTTGTTTTATTATAAAGGTGAGCTGGAGTCTCAGAGCACCAAGGCTTGTGTGTGCTAGAGAGACTAGTGAGGGAGTCCAAATGGGACCTTTCTCAGATACCATTGTGAGAGCAGTGGCCTGAAATACTTAACCTGTTGCCCTGCAAAAGTGTCTACTGGTGTATATGTCTGGTGACTTCAGCTTTACACATCCAGGCCCCAGAAGTTCAAATTGTTGAATTCAAGTAAATAAGATTCGGTTATGGTCCCAAAACCAGAGTCATGTGGGGTTTTGCCCTACTTGGAAGTAGGTTACCTAGGAGGCCCCTGGAGAGCTGGTAGCAGTGGAATCACCCTGTCCGGGTGTCTCCAGTGGCATTGGACAGAACTCTTGAGTTGAATTGCCCATTCAAGCATTTATGGAGCACTCCATAATGTCAGGGACTGGGCAGTGTGGAGTTTCAAAATATGAAAGGGAAAGACATGTGTAGACTCTGCTGAGTGCTTTGGAAGACACCAAGATCCATAGGTTCTTCAGGGGAAATAACAAGTGATTGTCATTGGGAATTCTGGGAAGACATTTTAGAAGGCTTAGGATTTGCATTTGGCCTTTAAGGATAGATAGTGCTTTGTCTTCATGAGAGGAGATAGACATTATAAGAACACACTTGAGGAAAGTTCTAGATGCAAAAGGAGGTGGAAGGACAGACACATCTGTGTGGGCCTGATGCTTGCATAGGGATCATCCTAGGAGATGGGGCTCAAGAGGTGGGTGAGAGCCACATGCAAGGGCCGTCTCATAAGGGTGGGGGCATTGGGCTTAGTGTTGTGGCTGGTGGAGAGGCATGTGTGTCTGAGTTGAAGAGCAGCAGGGCTAACTCTGTCACTGTAGTGATGGATGGCTATTGAATGAGGGTGGTTGGAGGAAGGGTAGAACAGAGGTGCCACTCTTGTCTCTGCTCCACAGCATGTGCCATACTGTCCTTCTACTGTCAGGGTGAGCAGAGAATGCTCTTGTGACCCTTTCTCTGCCCTCGGGGAAAGTGCCCTGTAGGCCTCACTTCTGTGGTCCTGTTAGTGTACAGGTATTGGTAAGCTTTTGGTGCTAAGGAAGGAGACAGTGCAGGCTGGGGAGACGAGGCCTAGACAGGATTCCCAGAATGCTATTTTGATGTGTTTTTCTATCCAAAGACAGCCGAGAAGAAGCAGTTCTCGGGAGCATCCCTCTGCCCAGCTACGTCATCTCCCCAGTGGCCCCCGAGGATCGCATAAGCCGCAAGTACTCCTTTAAGGTATTGCACTTCTCCAGTCATTCAGTCCATCTTAGGAAACAGTGTTCTCAGGAACACCTTCATGGATGCAGCTCCTTTTGTGGAGCAGGAAAGGAAGTTAGGAAGCTAGAGAGTCACAGACTCAGGCTAGCAAGGTGTACATGACTTAAGAATAAAGTCATGGCTAGGCATGGTGGGCCCACACCTGTAATCCTAGTATCTGGGAGACAGAGGCAGGCAGGTCTCTGTAAGTCAAGGCCAGCCTGATGTGGTCTATATAGCCTGTTGCTCTACTCTAGCCTAGCCAGGACTATAAGTGAGACACTGAAGAGATCGACTCGCAGTCCGTAAGGCTAAGGTTTCTTTATTCAGATAAACACCAGCTAAGCGCAAGCCAAAGCATGCCAGAGGCAGCCAGGCAGCCAGGCAGCCAGGCCAGAGAGAAGGCTTCCCGTCACCTTTAGACCTCCCCTGACCACGCCCTCACGGGCGTGTCCCGGCACACCTGTCTGGGCTACTAGGAGGCGGGGCTACAGTGTCTCCCTACAACTGTATTTATGTTTTATTTTATTTTTTTAAAGAAGGTCATCACCCCAGCCATAAAGTGCAGTCCCTTCTATTCTGTAGCTCAGGAGCTGCTTTGAAATCATTTTGTTCAGTGGCTTCTAGAATTGTCTTTGGTGGCCAGCTCTTCTTCAGAAAGTCTTCCCTTTCTGATATAGTAGTTCCTTTTCTGTTGCTGTGATAAACACCATGACCAGAAGTGATGGAGGAAAGGGTTTATGTTGGGTTACCATTCCAGAGGGATGAGTTCATCGTGTCAGGGAGGTGTGGCAGACGGGGAAGCAGATGTGGGAGCTCAATTCGCATTTTAAACTATAAACACAAACCAGAGAGAGAGAACTGGAAGTAGCTTAAGGCTTTAGTATCAAAGCCTGCCCCCAGTAGCTCTCTTCCCCAGGAAGGCTGTACCACCTCTGCCTCATCAGACAACACTTTTTAGAGCTAAGTGTTCAAATACCGGAACCTATGGGGGAGGCTTTTCATTCAAACTACCACACTGGGCCTGAGTATCACTGGGGGTTAATAATTGGGGACTAGGAGAGACAGCCTTTGGAGTGGCATCATGGTGGTTTGTCATAACATGGCTGGCTTGAGGGAACAAAGGGAACAAAGGGAAGAGCAGCACATGTTGATGCTGGCGGGAAGGAGTTCTCAGGGCCTCACAGGTCACATTAGGGGTTTTTGTTCAGTTCAAGATCAATGAGAAGCCACCGAAGGAACCAAGCTGGGGCTGCAAAAGGACGTGATCAGATCTTGGAAAGACCACTGGCTGAAATATGGAAGGGAGGAATGAGGACACAAAGAGATGCTTTCTCAGCATCTATCTCCCACCCCACAATCAAGTGTGAAAATAAACTGAACACAGCCATGGCCTTATCTATGAAGATGTACACTAAGTGCTTTTGCTTCTCAGCATCTGAGAGTCTTTTCCTCTTATCTAGGAGTTGCCTGTCAGGAGGAAGGGAGCTTGATTGTCCATTCTCAAATGAGTCCAGGTTCCCCTTCCCCCCCTTTCACAGTGTCCCAAACTCTCTCTCTCTCTCTCTCTCTCTCTCTCTCTCTCTCTCTCTCTCTCTCTCTCTCTGTGTGTGTGGGGGGGGGATGGTGGTGGTGGTGGTGGTGGTGGCGGCTACAGTAAGTATGCATGTGTACACATTAAGAGGCCAGAGCAGGGCCATAGGTGTTTTCCTTTCTCAGTGTCTTCCTTATTGTTTGAGATAGGGTCTCTCACTGCACTAGATGCTCACCATTTTGGCTAGGGTAGTATCTAGTGAGCTCTGGGGATCGACTTGTCTCTGCTCCCAATGCCCACTTGTGGGGTTGTAGATACACATAACCACATGTGACTTTCTGTGCCTTGTGGCATTCAGACTCAGGTCCTCATGCCTGCAGAACAGGTGTTTTAGCCACTGAGCCATCTGTGCAGCCCCTGAACTTGTTGAAAGCACCTATCAATGTAACAATTATAGTTACATTATAGTACTGATCCACAGGTTTTTTTTTTTTTTTTTTTTTTTTTTTTGTCCCCCGTGTTTTTTTTTTTTTTTGTCCCCCGTGTTTTTTTTTTTTTTTGTCCCCCGTGTTTTTTTTTTTTTTTTTTTTTTTTTTTTTTAGAAGTGTGAGTGTCCATAGCCTCGTATAAGGCTGTCCCTATGCCTTCTAGTGCTTCCCACATGGTAAACACTCAATAGATGGTGAATTATTGTGGGAGGAGTAAACATGAGAATCTGCTCTTTTATTGCCCATGTAGGTTCTTGCTGTCCTGGAATCTGATCTTGGGGTTTGAGGAGGGAGGATCTGGGCTTCCTTCTTAGTATCATATTAGCACAACCATGCCCTGGGGCAGATTGTTTCTGAGGTAGATGCTCCCTTGCTCTCATCCTAGTTTCCTTTCAGTATAGCCTGGCTTCTATGCAGAGTTGCTTAGTAGGGTTGTGTTAGCTGAGGAGCCCAGAGCTGAGAGGAAAGGGCCATTTCCAGGGCCTCTTGCTGGACTATGGATGCCTCCTCAGGCACTGAGCACTTGGAGTTTAGGTCACTGGTGAGTAGCTAGGCATAAGCCTGCTGGCAGTGACTAGAGAATAAGGTTCTGTGCTTGTGAATGACTCCTGTGGGGGCTGTATGCTTGAAGTGTGCCCTAACTGCTGGACAAGGCTGGCTCTCAGGATGCTTGTAGTGCAGGGACTTGCTCTTTCGAAAGACTGCACCAGAGACCTCCCTGTGTTTGCACCTGATGGACCCGTGACTGCCCCAGAACCCTCTGTGTTGGACAGAGAATCTTGGGCCTCATGGTCCAGGAGAACTTGTCTAAGGATTTCTGCTGGCACGTGGTAAGGCGTGCATTCTTCTCGTTCTTATTGCCAAGGCTCCTGCTTGTTAAACCAGAGGGGAGTGAAAGGACACCTAAGGCATATGAAGTGGGGATGTGAGGTTTCTTCTGCCAACATGGGGATCTTGGCTGCAGGCTAAATCTGCCTAGTCTCCTTAGGCACTGGGTTGGGTAGACTCAGACATATTAATGGGAGAAATAGGCCCATAGCTAATGTGCACTGTGGGACTTGGATATCTAGTGTGGAGAGAAGTAAATGCTGAAGGCTTCTCTGAGAGGTTTGTCTATCCATACTGAAGGCATACCGCTCTCCAGCTTATGACTGTTTTCTCTGCCTGGTCACTGGTAGGGCCTGCCATTTGTTCTAGATTCACATTACAGAATTGCCTGCATTTTTGCATAGGACCTGTGAGCATTACACAGAGAAGACTGGGTTAGGAGTCAGACCAAGGTTCCAACTCTTCACTCACATTCATTCATTCAACAAATAGTGAGCATGTACCATTTGCTGGGCACTATTCCTGGATATGTAGTGGTGAACAAAATAGGAAAGTTTCCTTTTCATGTAAAGTTTGTAAAATGAGCAGTGTCTGGTAATGGTAAGTGCTCTAAGAACTGTTCCAGATGTGGCATGTGGGAGAATTACCTTTCAGGTTCATTTGCCTCATCTGCAAAACAGTTCTGTCCCAACCTCTCCAGGCTGCTGGGGTTATAAAGAGACCAAAATTGTGGGCATACCCAGGAGCCATAGGGTGGGCACTTTCACCTTTTCCATACCCTCTTCCTGTGTAGATGAGGTGAAGTTTGAACTGCAAGGGTAAGAGGCAGACCCCTGCCTTCTCAGGCACAGAATTCTGATATTGTTTCCAACTGGATGCCATCAGAGTCGCTGATCTTTCTAGGCTTCCCACAAGGAGGCATGTATAGCCTTGGGGGGACAAATGCAACAGGTACTGCAGAATTCCCAGTCGGATGTTGATCAGCTCTACCCAGATCCATGGCGTCTTCTGAGAAGACAATATCTGCTTCTTTAGGCACATATCACGTTTCATGCCAGTGGAAGCCCAGGAGACTGAGCCGCATCAGTCTCCAAGTCTGGCAATACTAAGAAAGTGACATCTAGGTTGTGACATTTTTCAGATGTGAAGACAAGCTGACTGACATTGGGGTTTCATCTAGTGGGAACACACAGCCAGAGTACCCTATTATTCCTGCTAACCTGTCTGTCCCCGTGCTATAGGCTGTGCACACGGGAATGAGGGCGCTCATCTACAGCAGCACCACAGCGGGCTCCCAGACTGAGCACTCGGGTATGAGGACCTATTACTTCAGTGCTGATACCCTGGAGGACATGAATGCCTGGGTCAGGGCCATGAACCAGGCTGCACAGGTGCTGTCTCGGTCGTCACTGAAGAGGTCAGTCCTGATGGAGGGCTCCCAGGGTGGGAACTAGAAAAATCCCATGGGGCTGCAGTTCCACTGTTCATGCTGTGTTCAGGATGGCCATCTCTCTCAAGTACATTCTAGAACAAGTGCTTCTAGGAGAATGTGCAAAGGCTAGCACGTGTAGCTCGCCAGGCTGGAAGCTCCTCTAGACAGCACCTAATGCCCTGCTGCCTATGCCATGGCTGCTTAGGATGCAAAGCCATGGAACCTGATGTATGTATGTTCTCAGATTTTCTTATTTGTGGTAGAAGGGACAGAGATATTCCAAATCATGTTCCCAAGGTAACCTGTCTTAGATTCATTGATACCCTTTAAAATAACTTTCTGTTTATGGAATAGATATGTACAGATATATTTTCTTACCTTTAAAAAGTCATTCTATTTATTTATTTACATGTGTGTGTGTGTACGTGTGCATGTACTTTGTGTACTTACGCTATGACCATCTTGGAGGTCAGAGGACAACTTTTGGAAGTTTGTCCTCTCCTTCCATGACATGCATCCCAGGAATTGAACTCAGGTTGTCAGGTAGCAAGCACCTTACCCATTGGACCATCTTCCATGTTATTTTAAAGCATAATTATGAACATCCACATTATTTAATACCAGTAGACATATCACTGTATCAGCTTGTATTCAGCTGCTATAACAAAATACCCAAGTCTGGGTAATATATAAAGAAAAGAGGTTTACTCACCTCAGAGTTTTGGAGGCTGAAGTCTAAACATCATGGTTTGGAATCTATCATGAACACCCATACACACACTAGTTACAATGTATGAAGGGCAAGCGCACCATGATGGAAGCTCCTGCAAGAGGGAGACTAACATCAGTCACTTTTGCTGCAGCATCTGCAATGACCTAATTGCCTGGACCTGGCACTAAGCCTCATGTCTTATTCCCATCACATTTGAGACCAGACTTCTAACCCATGAACTCCTGGGATAAAAACCTCATCCAATACCAGTTATGGCATCCACTGTATGGTGTTCACCATGTGGCTGTGTTATTGTGTCTTCAGACATGTGCAAAGCCTGAGCCAGCTCTGAAGCACATTTCCTAATGCTGCTCTTATAAATAATCCTATATCAAAACCCCTCACCAGCTCTTCACACGTGACCCTTTCAGATTGCTGGGTCAAAATATCACCCCTTTTTATTTTATGTAACCACCAAGTTGTCTCTTAAGCAGCAAGGTGTATTTCACTCGTGACTGTTGACTTACATGTCTTCACTGGTGGTCGATCTTACCAGTCTTTGGAATTTACCAATCTGCTGTGTAGAGTCAGGTTATTTTTTGGTTTTTGCTGTTGTTTTTAACACAGCATCTCACTTTGTAACTACTGCTTTGAACTCACAGTAGTTCTCCTGCCCCAGCCTCCAAAGTACAGAGATCATAGACACAAGCCTCTGGACCCAGTAGTATCTGGTTATATTAATGCTTGTGTCCCTGATGGTGAGAAAAGACAAGCAGAAAATGCTATTGGCTATAGCAGAAGAGAGCTATGACTGAAAGTACCACATGCCCAGAAACTGTCCAGTATTAATTCACTGGTCAATATTTGGACGGCTCTATTCCTACCCAATGAATTAAAGTTGATATCAGGTTTCGAAAAGGGATCCGTGTCATAAGCATTCTCTCTGAAAATTATACCTTTTTTTGCTCGTAACAAACTCCTAAAATTCCATCACATTTGCTCAAGGATCCTTACCTTTCACAGTTAGAAAAACTCTTGCCTTCCAAGTCAGAATAAAGACATGGTACTTTTTTTCCCTTAGCAACCTGGGGGATGAAATGGTCAACCAAACAGACAGAGACTCAATAACTGTTTGGGTTTCCAGAATAAGATGTTCAGATGTTTGGTTAGTTACAATGTTTTGTCAGACAGGACAGAATTTTGTCTCTCCTCCAATCTGGTGATCCACTGACCGCCTCCTTTCCTGTTAGTGGTTGTGCCCCCCACCCCTGCAGTGGCCTCCTGTCTTGTAGTTCTCACCCAGATTCTCTGTCCTGCACTTTGTTTAGGCATGGTAAAGTCTACCAGTACTGTTGTTGCAGGTGACTCTGAGGGGATGGCGTTTAAGGCTTCAGGTCCCTGAAGAGTTCAAGACACACTGGCTCTAGAGCAGCTGGTGTGGGGTTCAGAGACTGTCATCCTCTCAGGCTCTCAGCTGGATTCAGTCTTGGGCTCTGTGGGAAGGTCCTGGGAACATCTGGATCTGAGGGGGGAAGGACCTGTAGGATCCCCAGGTTCTGGCCATCCTGTTTGAAGCCCAGCAACAGAGCCAGGAGGGTCTTGCCCTAGAAACACTGAGGTGCACCCTCAGGCTGACTTCAGCCATACTGAGGTTCTCCACTGTTCACAGTGGCCAGAGAAGGCCCTTGCTGATGCCACTGACCTCTCAAGACACATGCCTCACCCCCCAGGACAAAAGTGGAGTCCTGTGGACCACAGAGACTGAAAGTAAAAGCAAGGGCTTATTCTATTGGGAAGGCTGAGGGCATCAGGTTGAGGACCTGGAAATGGCTTGTTGGGATGAGTGGCAGAATACCAGTAGCCATCACCGAGGCTGGCCAATGCCCCCCTTGCCTCCTGCTGTAGCATTATCTTTTTTATTTTTATTTTATTTCATGTGTATGGATGTTTTGCCTGTATGTATGTCTGTGTGTGCCTGGCGCCCTTTGGAGTTAGAAGAGGGTGTTAGATTCCCTGAAACTGGAGCTATAGGTGGTTGTGAGCTGCTGTGTGGATGCTGGGCATTGAACCCACATCCTCTGGAAAAGCAGCCAGGGCCCCTAACTTCTTAACCATCTCTCCAGACCCTCCCTTCCATTCCTATTGTCTCTAACACCTTCTCCCAGAGCTTAGTCCCTGCAGTCTTTCAGATGTGGGTTCAGATTCTAGCTCCCCTGCTGTCATGGTGTGAGAATTACTTGTATTTTTCACATGCCAGTTTCTCACAGTTCTTAAGACCCTCCCAAGGATTAAACACAGTTACTTAGCTAGTAGCCTGAGATGCAGTCGGTACTCCCTGCCAGACATGCTGGCTTTTGTAGCTCCTGGCATAGTAACACCATCCGCTTTTTTTTTTTTCCTTCTGTGCACCCTTCCAGTTTCAACTGTGAGTGTTTGAGAGAATCACACTCTCTTTGTCGGTGTATCTCCTAGCAGTGTGCATAGCTCAGCTCCAGCTTCCTGAAGCCCCCCCTCTTCCTCTAGCCTTCTCCCAGGGAATTCCTCTTTGCACCTCTTCGACTGCACTTGATTTCCATCATCTTGTTTCCTATTACAAGTTTCAGTTCCCCACGATACCCACCCCACTTCCTGGGGTGGAAGGAAAATGAGGTCCCACCCCCCACCTCTCTGTGTGTGTATGTGTCTCCATTTCTAAATTCTCACCATCACATCTGGGCCTTGTCTGATTCCCTGGGGTTGTCTTGATGTCCATCTTTCCATCTTGTCTAAGGATACATTGTCTTTCCCAGAAAGCCAAAGCTCTGAGCAAGGAGACCCATTTGCATTTACGATTCACAAAACTGACAGTTCACAAAACTATCAGAGGACTAACCTCAGCTTCCAAGCCTTGCTTCCAGTCCTGTCTTAGAACTGAAGGAACTTACACTCTAGTCACCCTTTTCCTTGACAGGGCTTTTGAAGATGGCATGTGTGTCTGGTCCCTTACAAACTTATATCTTGCCTTCCCTATTCTCTGTGCCCCAGCCACCTGGATCTCCCTGAACTTAGACCTGCACATTGTTCATCCATTCATCTTTTATTCTGCAAACATTCATTGAAGGCATTTGATACTGAAATTGTAGCAGTAGGAGAGGTAGTGTCTGATGGAACCTGCATTTGGGAGTGGGGGAGAAGACATACCATAGTCAGTAAGATGAATTTTACCATGATGTAAGCATGGAAGCAGTAAGACAGGGTGAGGGACCAGTGGATGGGGAGCAGCCACTTTCATCTGAGTGATCAGGAAAAGCCTCTTTAGATGAGCACTGTGGAGAGGAGGCCTCATAGTACAAGAACGTAAGGTGCACGCAACTGAGGAAAAGTGTATATGGAACTAGTGGATGACATGGTGAGTAAATGAACTTGCTGAGCAAGCCTGACTGGAGTTTGGTCCCCAAAACCCACATTAAAAGGGGATGGGGTAGCCAGATGCTGTGGCAGGCATCAGTACCTCGTCATCATTGTCTTGAAAGCAGCCCATTTAGTACCTGGCACAGAGTAAGTGTTCACTAAAATGCATGGCTTTTTGGCTGGTTGGCGAGTGGATGACTTAATGAACTAAACAGCTGCAAAACCGTTCTACATGTAAATTTCTCAGTTAGACTTGGCATGGGGCTGGCAAGGTGGTTCAGCAGGTTGAGGCACTTATGTCCAAGCCTGACAACCTGAGTTCAATTCCCCAGGGCCCGCAGAGTCAAAGGAAAGAACCAACTCCAACAAGCTGTCCTTTGTCCTCCACACCTGCACAGTGATACCCCCCAAAGAAAAGTTAAAAAAAAAAAAAAGTTGGAAAGACAGAGTGCAATTCGAACACTGCTCTGGGATTCTGTGTAAGGAACCAGCCTTCTCAGAAATGGCCCCACATTTAAGCTGTCTGTACTTCCTTTGGCCTTCCAGACTGCTCACCCTGGGTGATGTATGGCTGGGCAGGTCTCAGCAGAAGTACTTGATAGACGCATTTTCAGCCCTGTGTCTGCAGATTTTGGAGTCGAGTCTGATGGAGCTGGAGTCCTGTGTGTGTCACTGGTGCGGGATCCAGCACAAAGTTGCTCACCTCTCTGAGCTTCACTGTCATTAGTTGTAATGAAGCTGACACCCAGACTGCAGGTTTGTGTGGTGAACAGGAACAGGGAGTAAAGTGCTTGGCTCAGGGTTCTGCCTTGTGAGCTGTGAGCTTACAGTCAGCACTCCCATTATCACTGTCCCTCCCTTCCATTAGAGACACTGTTATAAGTAACCCCATCTGGGGGTGTCCTCCGCCTCTCTAGGCATGGCAGAGTTGACTTGGCAGTGTGGTTGTAGGCATGAGAGATGGGCCTTGTCAAATTCCTGACACAGGTTACACCTTGCATACATGGCAACTACAGCATCAGCTTTAAAACGTATACGACCCTGGCTGAGACTACTGTGGAGTTTTCAGCTTCACCAGGGATTTTCTTGCATGCCACTCTGATGCAAGAGCTGGGTTGTTGCATGTGTTTTGTGACCCATTGGGGAGACAACTGAAGGCAGCAGAGTGTCCTTAGCACAGGTCAGATCCACTGTTGCTAATTCAGGTAAAGTAGAGCCAGTTGAGGAGGGGTACCTGTAATATATATATTACAGGTGGTGTAATCCTGTAAAGACAAGAGACCCTATTTTAAAACAACAGAAAAGGAGGCATAGGGCTGGCATAGGGTCTGGGGTGAGAGATTTTCCCTAGGACAAGGGTGGGGGGTACCCTGTTTAACCCCAAGGGGAAAGAATAAAGTGACTCCTATCTCCACTGCTCCCAGCAGTCCTTCCTCAATTCTAAGCACTAACCAAGGTGAAGGAGCCTTCCTGCTGGCCTTCCAGGTACTGTGAGGCCCCATCTCTCCAGTCTTTTGTACAAAGCTATGGATGGTGCCCTGGGTAGGTACTCACTTTGAACTCCGCTTCTTGTGAGATTGGGGATCAGTGCTCAGGACTCCAGCAGCAACCATCTGGGAAGGGTTTATGCTGTCTCAGCTCTAGACACCTGTGCTCTGGTGACCAGCCCTCTGGATGACATGGTCATCAGTCCTGAGGGGATGCTTCACCTGTTCCTACCCTTCTGCTAAATTGAGCAGTGCGGATTTCTTTAGTGACAGGTCTTCTGATTTGAGAAGTTATATGATAAATTGTTGAGAATTTAGAGAGACCAGGAGAAAACATGTTTTTGAGGGTGGGGTTTGAAGCCCCCGAGTTAGTAAGTTGTTAAATGTTGAAGTCAGGTAAGCTAGGGAGCAGGAAACTGCTTTCCTACCTGAGCCACAGACTGAACATTTTTAGCATAAAGGTATCTCCTTAAGTTCTGGAAGCCATGAGGATAAGGAGCTTTGTAACTCCAAAGTCTTAGGGGTGAGAAGAATGCCGGTTAGTGGGCAGACAATGCTCTTTCAACCACTCCCTGGAAGTTTACTCTGCAGGAAACTCTGGTGTTAATCCAAATCATAGATGCAATTGTCCCCCATTAAATTGATTTCCAGGAAGTACTAGCACATGTGGGAGGGTGTATGTATCCTCCTTTGTACAAGTACAATAAAAACCAAGATTTGCTGTTATAAAGGTAGCTCTGAGATGAGAGGAGACCAGCAAATTCCATGACTTTGGGGTCAGCAGCATTTCCTTCAGCTCTGATACACATGTGATAGTGTAGTGTTTGTCTGCTTATCTTTAGTGCTCGTAGTAAGAAGATAGAGCTACTTTGGAGACAGAGATAAAGCCCAGTTCGTAGAATGCTTGTCCAGTAGGCATAAACCATGAATTCAAGCCTTACCAAAGCATACACCAGTCTGTAATCACAGAAGCTGGGGATTAGGCAGGCAGACCCTCCTCAGCTGCGTAAAGAGTTTGAGGATAGCCTGGAATTCATGAGATTCCTACCCTCCTCTCCCACAAAAAAAGATGCAGCTCTTTTGGTTTCCAATCTGGGATGTCCACTTGGCAGTGTGGGAACACATGAAAGCGTAGAACCACTGTGACTCTCCCAGGGATGACCCAGAAGGCAGCTGGGCTTTCATCAGCTCAGAGGCAGCTGTACAACACAGCCTATAAGGATGAGAGACAGTGGAGGACAGAGGCCACGGTCAGCAGCTCAAAGGCAGCTGGTGGGGTCCACTGACAAAGAGGAGAGGAATAGAAGGCTGGTCAAACCACTCAAGTGTCCAGTGAAACAGAACTTCTCTGTGAGCTTACACTAAGACTTGATTTTAAAATATTTAGTGTGTGTGTGTGTGTGGGGGGGTGTATATGGATGCAGGTGTGCTTGTGGCATTCATAAGGCAACTTCCTGGAGTTGATTCTTTCCCTCCACCATGTGGGTTCTGGGGATGGGACTCAAGTTGCTGTTGTTGTTCACAAGTATCTGTACCTGCTGAGCCCTCTTACCAGCCCAAGAATTGCTTTTTGAAGCATAGATCCCTGAGTGTTTTCCTGTTACAAGGGCTTATAGACCACTGGGTTGGAGTGGACAATACCTCAGATCATTCCTAATGAGATGTAATAGCCTCTGCTGTGTAACCTGAACCAGTATCTACCATGTACACGGGAAGAGGCATTTATTGGGTCACAATGAGGAAGATCAGTGGTACATCTGGTTTGGTTGTGACTGCATGTGAGACCTCAGGCTGAGTCCTCAGGACTTGCTTGGCCTCCTTCAAATAGCACCTCATACAGAGGCAGCTTGAGCCCAAACCCACTCAAGCCAGGGTCGGAGAACTGACTCTGACTAGCCTGGACTGGGCCGTTGGCCTCCCTCTGAACCAGTCCTGAGATTTCTGAGCTTTGGCAAAAACAAAAAACAAAAAACTAAAGTCAGCAGCACCCAAAACATGTAGACACAATGTGGGGAAGGGTGAGCCCAAACAAAGACAGATGTTGTTCGACAGGCAGTGGCAGAACTATATGTTGGGGAGGCAAGATGTCTCTCAGATATGAATAAAATGAGATATGAACCAGAGGTGGTGGTGTAATCCTGTAAAGACAAGAGACCCTATTTTAAAACAACAGAAAAGGAGGCATAGGGCTGGCATAGGTGGGTCAGCAGGTGACGTACTTGCCACCAAGGCTGACATCTATTTCCAGGAGCTACATGGTAAAAGGAGAGATCCTACTATTGCAAGTTGTGCTCTCACCTCCACACTTGCATCATGACACGCACACACACACACACACACACACACACACACACACACACACTAGGTAAACAAACAAATAATAAAAATTGTAGAGTGCCGGGCAGTGGTGTCGCACACCTTTAATCCCAGCACTCGGTAGGCATCGGCAGGCGGATCTCTGTGAGTTCGAGACCAGCCTGGTCTACAAGAGTGAGTTCCAGGACAGCCTCCAAAGCCACAGAGAACCCCTGTCTGTCTAAAAAAAAAAAAAAAAAATGTAGAGTGAAGACAGAGGTTTCTGTTCCACCTGGCCCCGTATAGCTGTTTAGACCCAAAAAACCACTCTGAGGCTTATATTAATTATAAACTGTTTGACTGGTGGCTCAGGCTTCTTACTGGCTAGCTCTCTCTTAATTATTATCCCATTTCTATTAATCTATATTTCCACATGGTCTTGGCTTACCAGAGAATTCCCAGGTGTCCTGTCTTCCAGTATATATGGTGTCTCTGCAGAGATTCATGCCCTATCCTCTTTCCTAGTCTGGCAGCCTTGCCTATACTTCCTGCCTGGCTATTGGCCAATCAGCATTTATTCATCAACCAGTAAGAGAAACATATATTCACAGCATACAGAGGGAAATCCCCCATCAGTAGAGAAGGCGGGAAGTGGTGGTGCATATCTTTAATCCCAGCACTTGGGAGGTGGAGGGGGGTGGATCTCTGAGTTCAAGGTAAGTCTGGTCTACAGAGCAGGGCTACACAGAGAAACCCTGTCTTAGAAGAACAAAACAAAACAAACAATTATAGAGAAGTACAGAGCAACTTTATTTCCACATAACTTAGGATTCCTGTGGAGAAGGCATTTGAACACGGACGGACAGTGGTGAGCATGACTGCTTTGCTTAGATCTGCATGCCCACAATTAGACCTGTACACAAGAAGCAGCCCTTCTGCTGGGAAATGCATTTTTTCCTGTCCCCTAGATTAGCTTGAATCTGCACTTACCCTGGAAAGCTGAGATTCTGGGTGGTCACAGGGCTCTGATCACCATGTTATAAATACAGCAATGTTCTGCTGTGTGCTCCCAGGTCAAAGTGGAGATGTTCATGGCTGAGCCATCATAGAGTTATGTATCTGAAGGGCAGGGCCTTTACATTGTGGAGCACAGCTAGATTGATGCCCCATCTGAGATCCTGCTCATGTTTCCATCTATGCTGGAGTGAGTCCGTCTGACTCCAGTGAGCCATTGTTCTGTCTTGAGTGATGGGGCTGCATACGGGACCCGTACCTTGGAGTCTTTCAGTATGGGCAAGCCTTGACAGAAGAGCTCTGCCCAATGTCACAGAGCTTGTCCAGCCTCAGTTCACACCTTTAGCTGTCACCCAGTTCCTCTCACACTTGTCATATTTGTGTGTATGGGGGAGGGGGGAGGGGATGAGGGTAGAAAGGCAGTAGGAGGCAGAAGCTAAAAGTGTGTGGCTCTGGAGTGGCAGTTTCAATGTGATGGTAGTGTCAGGGCACAGTCCTTTTACATCAAGGGAGTGTGTCAAAGTGACTTTCTGGAGGAGGTGGTATTTAAGCCAAGTTCTCACAGCAGTACAAAGGACTGGGCATGGGGCATGGGGCAGGGGGTGGGAGGGAAGGGGTGTTCCAGAGATGAGTATAAAAGGCTACTGGGGAGTCATGGCTGTAGTGTGGGCTGAATGTGCTCCTGCCGTTACAGGGACATGGACAAGGTGGAGCGGCAGGCCATGCCACAGGCCAACCACACCGAGGCCTGTCAGGAATGTGGCCATGTGGGACCTGGGCACTCCAGAGATTGTCCTCATCGAGGCTATGAAGACTCCTTTGGCTTCAACAGGAGGGAACCGGAGGAGGAACGCTTCCATTCTCAAAGGGACCCACTGGAGGGCAGGCGGGACAGGAGCAAGGCCAGGTCTCCATACTTGCCAGCTGAAGAGGATGCCTTGTTTGTGGATTTACCTAGTGGGCCCCGAGGCCAGCAAGCACAGCCACAGCGAGCCGAGAGGAACGGCATGCCACCACCTGTCTCTTATGGCCCAGGAGAACAAAATGGGACCAGTGGGTATCAGCGGACTGCTCCTCCCAGGGCCAACCCAGAGAAACACAGCCAGAGGAAGACCAACCTGGCCCAGGCAGAGCACTGGGCAAAGACTCAGAAGGGGGATGGCAGGAGGTCAGTCATAGTGTTGAGGTACTGCTAATTAACATGTTGTTGATGATGATGATGATGATGTGTGGTGTATGCACGTGTGTGTGTGCATGCGTTCGTGTATGTATGTGAATAGCTGTCAGTTCCCCAGTACCTGCTAGTTAACCTCTCTACCTCTATGAAAATACTCTTAACAGCCCTCCAAGGAGGTATGATAGCTCTAATTTACAGACCAGAGAAATGGGCTTGGAGAAGGGAAGCAGCCTGCCTAGGACATACAGATTAGTGGCAAGGTCAGAGTTTAAAGTGTGGTCTGAGCCTCTGCCCATCAAGAGGACACAGATGACCAGCCAGCGGTGTTAGTAACAGGTCGACTCTTACACTACTGCCAGCCCCTCTGCTTCTGAGGAGTCCCTCCCTATAGACTCTTGAGGGCACTGAGACCCAGCTGTGAACCCCAGATGCCTGGAGGAGTCCAGGGAGGAGCCTAGGCACTATAGGTACTCGTCCTGTCAGGGAGTACAGGCTGTCCATCTATGGCTCTGGAAGCTGGCTCTGCCCTTGGGAGAAGAGCTGCAGCCTGTTGTCAGAGGTGGGCATGGTGTCATGTATGTCTGGCCTACGTTGTGAGTGAGAGTGGCTAGTGAAGAAACTATAAGGAAGAACTTCACTTAGAGACATGGCTGTGGGACTGACCAGAAGGGGAAGCCTTCTAGATTGTAACTAAGATACTTGCCCCTTCTCCCTCGGAAAGAGCAGGTGTCGGCTCTATTTATTTAAATGTTGTGTCTTACTGAAAACAAATAGCTGTGGCCCCAGAACAGAGGGAAGTACACTGTTGTCCTTGGTGCTGAGCCCATGGTGTATAGTTAAGACTGTGCTGACCTCATTGTCACTGGACAGTGCACATAGTGGCAGTGGAAGGAAGGCTGTTAGACTGCTTTGGTCCACATGGGGAACTATTTCTAACATACCCCTGTATTTTGAGGTACTCTATATTGCATTTCTTATCGTTTAACTCTGTTGGAATGGGGTTAGCAAGAGTCTCACGTACCCTGAGTCCTGGCATGTTCTGTGAGCTTGTTTTTGAAATTCTAGCCTTCTGTCTCTACCTGTACCCAGTGTTTAAAGTAAAGCATACTTGTAAAATAAAAGGTGGGATGGGGCCAGGGATTATTGTGGGTTTGAGGGAACATAGTAGGAAATGAAAGACCTGCGTGATTGGTGTGGAAGCTAGGGTGATGAATTTCTGCAGTGAGCATAATGGTCATACAAGTTGATCTTATGCTTTGGTGTGACTGTATCTGGAGCAACTTTTCTCAGGTTATCCTGTTCAACTTTTCTGTTCTTGGAGCCACAGAGCAGGTAAGAGACCTGGAGCTCCTGATCTCCTGACACACATCTGTTGTCAGGGCAGAGCTACCCCAGGAGATGTTCCTGGGACCTGTCATATCCCTTCCTCCATCAGCCAGTTAATACAGTTTGGCTGCAGGAGCTAGTGGCCATCATCATACTAGTATCTGAGGTTACTCCAAATGGCACACAGTGCATAAATGGAAGGCATGGACTGGAGGATGGGCTCAGGATTTGGGGCACTGCCTGGGGGGTGGGGGGCTGTGGCCATCTAAACATAGTAGACAGGAGCTGCAGAGACAGAAGGAACTTGGTTGGGACATGCATACTTTAAGTTTTGCTTCTGGGAAAATGAACAATGGTTATGAAGTCCTGCCCTCCAGGGAAAGCCCCATGCCTGGTTTCTGCCCCAGCCACCACCTCTGAGGATTTGGGTGCTGCCACAATCAGACACGGGCTTTGGGAAAAATGAGTGAAAACTCTGCCACCTAGTGGCAAGCAAACACACTTGCATTCTAGACAGGTTTGGGCTGAAGAGATTTTAAAATTCCCTCAGCTAAGTGAAAAGAAACTGTCGAAGGGAAGCTACCATATTTGATGGCACCCATTTCTACTCCTCACAATGATCTAATCAGAGGCTCTTATCATCCACATTTTATAGGAAGGGAAGTGAGACTCAGAAAAGACACGGACCTGAGGTCAGATACAAGTGATTTAATAGGCAGTTAGATAGCACGTTTCAACCTTAGGGGCCTGTTTAAACAGGGTCAACGCACTCTGCCTGAAAGTTAGCATTCATATGTCTAGTGGGGCTGAAAAATCTACATTTCAAAACTATATTTTAGAGAGGGTCTTGAACCCAGGGCTTTGTGCATGCTTGGCGTGACTCTTAGTAACTGAGCTATATCCCTAAACCTGTATTTTAAAGACTTTTTAGATTTATTTTATATGTATGAATGTTTTGCCTGCATGTGTCTGTATCATGTATGTTCTTGCTGTCTGCAGAGGTCAGAAAAGAGACTCAGAGCCCCTGGAACTGGAGTTACAGATGGTTGTGATCCACTGTGTGTGTGCTGGGAATTGAACTCAAGTTCTTTGCAAGAGCAGCCAGTGCTAAGGCTTCCCTCCAGCTTGTCCTTTTAACCAAAAAGGAATAATTATGGAGTTAGAGAGATGGCAGTTAAGAAGAACGTTTTCTGTGCAAGCTTGAGAACCTGAGTTGAGGACTTCAGTATCCACATAAACACCACGTGTTTCACCCATGCCAGGCAAGCCTAATGTTAGGGCACAGGCAGATGAATCCAGGAGCCCCCTGGTCAGCCAGCTTAGTCAGAACAAGAAATTCTAGTCCAGTGAGAGAAACAGTCTCAAGGGAGCAGGCAGAGAGCAGTATACTTCATGTCCCCCTCTGATCTACACAAATGTACATGGGTATGCACACCCCAACACACGTGCACACACATACACTTGATCATGCATCTTTAAAAAGTAATAATTATATATTGACGGAATAGAGGGGACATTTGGTGTATGCATACATTGTGAAGTAGTTGAAACAAGCTAATTAATGCTCGTCACCTCACCCACACATCCTTATGTGTGTATGTGGTGAGAATACTCAGTCTTGAAGTATATATTATTAACTGTGGTCAACACGTTGTGCAATGGGGCCTCTCACACATGCTCACTTGATCCATTTGAAGGTTTGCACACACTGACCAACATTTCCCTCCTTATTTCTGCCATCCCCAGGTCTGGTAACCACAGCTTTACTCATTGTTTCTCGGCATCCCACATAGAAATGAGAATGTACAGTGTCTGGCTTAATTCAGGAACCTGCCTTTTGAACAAGGCCTTGGGTATTGATGCTGCCACTGCCTCCACTGACCATATATAAAGTTAGCATTGGCCCAGAGTAATGTCTGGCACACTACACTATATAATGTCTGCACTGTATATAAGTTTGCTATGTGAAGTTAATAAGTCAGAATCAGGATTTGAACTGAGGCTTCTGTAACCCCAGAGCCTGTTCCCTTTAAAAAACTATACTACCTTGCAGATTAAACTAAAAAATCAAGCAAAAAGAATGAAATTGTGTGTGTGTGTGTGTGTGTGTGTGTGTGTATGAGAGAGAGAGAGAGAGAGCACATAAAAGTACCACAATGCACACACAGCAGTCAAGACTTTTTTTTTTTTTTAGATTTTATTTATTTATTATGTATACAACATTCGGCTTCCATGTATATCTGTACACCAGATGGGGGAACCATATCTCAATGGATATTTTTGAGCCACCATGTGGTTGCTGGGATTTGAACTCATGACCTCTAGAAGAGCAGCTGGTGCTCTTAACCTCTGAGCCATCTCTCAGCCCCCAGTCAATACAACTTTTGAGAGTCTGTTCTCTCCTTCCACTGTGTTTTCCAGGGATGAGTTCAAATTGTCAGGCCTGCGTGGCAAGCACTTTTACCAATAAGCCATCTATCTCACTGGCTATAAACTTTAGTTTTTAAAGTTTATGTTATAGATGTTTTGCCTGCATGTATGTCTGCATCACCACACATGTCTGGTGCCTATGAACGTCAGAAAGAGGGAGTTAGATCTCCTGGAACTGGAGCTACAGATAGTTATGAGCTCTTTGTGGGTCTCACTACTGAGTCATTTCTCCAACTTCTAGACTTTTTTTTTCTTAAGATAAGGTCTCCTGTATCCTAGGCTGGCCTGGAACTTACTATGTAGCCGAGGATGACCTTGAACATCTGATCCTCCTATTCCTGGGATTATCGGTATATGCTACCACACCTGGCTTGGATTTTAATCTTCAAAAAATTTCCATATTTTGTCCCTTGCTGATTTTTTTTCTCTGTCCCGGGAAATGCAATAGCTAGGTTTAGTAGCTTTCAGTCATACCTGCTTTTTGAAGGGCTAGTTGTTGCATCATGATTTTCTCACACCATGGAGTCTCGTTTCTGGCCTTTAAGAAGGTTTGGCTTGGCTGAGAAAGAAATGTCTTGGAAATACTAAAATCACATCAGCCCAGGACCTTGAAAAAGTCCTATATTGAAACAACAAGCTAAATAGTAGAGACTGCAGGCTGTGGCCCTGGGAGGAGAAATGGGGGTCATTGTCCTGGAGAATGAGTGAGATTTGAATAAATGGGGCTTGGGGAGCCTGGATACAGAGGAAAGAGCAGTGTTGTGAGGACCAGAGGAAAGCAGACATTCTGGGTCTCAGCCATGGAGGGAAGGGAAGCAATGACAGGAAGGTACACTCCCTGCTAAGGACCTTCTGACTCGGCCATTTAGGATACATTTTGCCTTACTTACCTCATTAGTTCTCAGAACCCCTAGATGAGGCAGTAATACTACCTTACATACAGGTAGGGAAACTGAGGCTCAGAGCAGTCAGTAAGCCTCCTGAGGTCACATATGCCATGTATGGTAGAATTGAGATTAGAACCTAGGGCGGGCTACTCCCTACTTTTGCTTTTCTGTAGTGAGAAGTTACTGAGGTTGGGGAGCTCTGAGACGGCCAAAGGGATGCTCATGGATTGGGGGTGGGGTGTTCCTTCATCAATTGTGCTCCAGGCCACTGGTCCACCTCAGCCTGTCTCAGCCCTGGAAGGAGCAGTGAGAAAACATCAGGATTTCAGAGTAGTAGGTCGTCACCAGATGTTAGAAAGCCATGAGCACCAAGCCAAGGATTTAAATGTTATATAGACAGCAGGGAGCTGAGAGGGGTTGGAGCATACTAGAGTGATCAGATCAGTTGATCATGTACAGGAAACACAATAGGAGGCCCTCAGAGTTGTCAGGAACCAGTCTCTGGGTTAGAAGGGTAGCAAAGGGAAGACTCCTGCTCCAGCTATTTCCTTTGTGAGCTTCCAGGGTTGGCAATAGGCTCCCGGGCAGAAGGAGAGAACTGTGAGGCCTTCCCAGATCCACACACATTGCTTGTCATTGACAGCTGGCAGGACAGGAAAGGCAACTTAATTATAATGTTTTAGGAGTGACAGGCAAGGGAACCCTGTGGTGGTCCTAGCTGTCAAAGAAAACTGCCTCTGAGATCTTGTTCAGTGAGAAGCCCTATGTGTCGGCTTCAGTCACTGTTTGGGGGTCCTCACAGTCTCCCCAGCAGGCTGACCTTGTGGATTTCCTGAACTGTGTTGCCTTGTGTGATGGCCTGACAAGCTCCCTCTCTCTTTCTCAGCTTGCCCTTAGACCAGACACTTCCTCGCCAGGGTCCCAGTCAGCCCCTGTCCTTCCCAGAAAACTACCAGACTCTTCCCAAGAGCACTAGATATCCTTCTGGGAGCTCTTCACCCCCTCCCCGGAACCTGCCCAGTGACTACAAGTATGCACAGGACCGAGCCAGCCACCTGAAGATGTCCAGTGAGGAGCGTCGGGCACATAGGGATGGCACTGTGTGGCAGCTATACGAGTGGCAGCAGAGGCAGCAGTTCCGGCATGGCAGCCCCACGGCACCCATTGGAGCTGGCTCCCCAGAGTTCACTGAGCAGGGCCGCAGCCGGAGCCTGCTGGAGGTGCCCCGCTCCATCTCTGTACCTCCATCTCCTTCTGACATCCCTCCACTAGGGCCTCCCAGGCCCTTCCCACCCCGGCGACCTCATACACCAGCAGAAAGGGTCACAGTGAAGCCGCCCGACCAGAGGAGGAGTGTGGACATCTCACTGGGGGGTTCTCCCAGGAAAGCACGGGGTCATGCTATCAAGGTGAGGCCCAGGAACTTCTACCAGGTGACTGGGGTGTGGCATTGAGAGTCAGAGTCACTCAGTGGCTTCCTGGCAGCCTGCAAGACAGGAAAAGGTGTTGTTGTTTAGTCAGTTCATTTATCTATAACAACCCAATTGAGGTTTAACTCCCCAGGGACTGTTCAAACAGTTTTCTGTGCTGTGCCCAGTGAGGAAGGTGGTATGTTCATTTTGGAGACCAGACTCCCAGGGTTAAGACAGGTGGAAGGGCACATGGTAGGTGGGCCTGGGGGGGAGTGACTGACGTTTTCTTGCCTGGCCTCAGTCTGGCTTCTCTTCTCCTGTTACAGAACTCCTCTCATGTGGACCGGCGTTCCATGCCGTCCATGGGCTATATGACCCACACAGTCAGCGCTCCCAGCTTACATGGAAAATCGGTAAGCAGCCCCTCACTTCCCTCTTCAGGTGATTGACATACCATGGCATATGAGACCCTAGCCCATGGTATTTCCTCCCTCAGAGCCGATCAATTGCAGCCCACAAGGCAGTTTTTAACCCCTTCTTAGAGATGAGACAGAGGCCCCATGGCTCATTCAGGCTTTGCAGCAGGTCCTCCAAAGACTGAGGAAAGTGGAGGACAATACTGGGCTGGTCCCCTCTTTGGATTTTGCCAGAAGTGTATTCTAGCTACCTGCTTTCTCCTTTAGCATCCCTCCTTTCTTCCCTGGCCATCTCTGTGATTGGTTAACAACTCTCCCTTCAAAGCACTCATCCTCCTGGTGAAGCTGAACTGGTGGCTTCTGAGAAAGCAGCTTCTGGTACCCTATGCTGGCGGTGCCTTTATTTGCCCTAATGACAGAAGCCAATGCGATCATTGCCTAGTGGTGTCACATCAGTGTTGTCCTGGCACGGGGTGAAGAGTATAATTGCAGCGGTGTACCCTGCGGTGGCTGACTCCCTCCCGATGTGTCTACACGCCCGCAGCTGGAAGAGCTCTCACTGCTGCTCACCCGGTTGCAGCGGCACCAGGCCAAGTTGGCCAGCGTGCGCAATTTCGCCGTGGGCCAGTTACTGCACCACTACTTGACCTTTCCTGCCTGCCAGGTCAGCGCCGGTGGGCTCTCCTGGGCCCAGGCAGAGATGGCCTGCCACCCATGTTCCCCCGTGCTGTGTGCTCTGGTCTGTCCTGCTGGCTGGCTCTCTCCCTCTCCCCTTGCCTCTTTGCTTCTGGGTGCTACAGCGAGTCACTGTGAGCAGTGGTGGAGTGCTGTCTCCCCACTCTGGCACAGGGGAGGGCTGCATGGGGTGGGACAGACCTGAACCTTGCTTCTTGAGCTCTGCAGAGTGATTGCCAGGCTGGCACATGGTCATCTTGTCCAAGAGCTGTGCCCTGTCACTCATTGTCACTCAGTCTTGTCACTCATTGAAGACACGTGGGTCAGCCTGGAGGGAAATGTAGGGCACCTCCACTTGTAGAACAGCCCTCATCTCTTGTCCTGTTTAGCTCTGTAGGAACCTGCCTAGGTAAGGTGCAGCTAGTTGTTATTATGTGACAAAAGGGTCCTGAAGGGGCCGTGACTCACTGCTATGTCACCAAGAGTTTGCAGGCTGGAGCCAGAATCTCTGTTTTAGAATGTTAAATAGCATCACAACTTGGGCTTAGAATTCCGGGTGTTGCTCTCTTGGTTTCCTGGAGCAGCTAAAGAGAATGAACTCCTTATCTGTAGAGTTGTTCTTGGGCAGTGGTGGTTCAGCCATATAAGCCTGATCTCTCCATGCAGCACAGAGCCAGGCAGAGGACAGATGAGGGTGCTGGGATTGCCACTTTCCTTCCCTGACCTCTTTTAGCAAGACTTGAGGACCCAGGAAATGTAATTAGAAAAATGAGTGTAAGAATAAACATGTTAAAAACAAACCAACGTAAGTTCAAAGTCATCACTGAGTAGATGACTCAGTGGTTAAAGAGCTTGCCATGAAAGTGTGTGAAACCTATAAAAGCTGGGTAGGTGTGGCTGTCCTCCTGTGATTCCAGCTCCAGAGAAAGCTCGATAGTAAGACTAGCTGTATCAGTGAGCTCTGGGTGATTGATGAGGGGCCCTGCCTTATAAATAAAGTGGAAGAGCAATGGAGTGTTCACATATGTGTGTGCCCCACACATGCAAAAACATGCATGTGTCCACACATGTGCCTGCATGCATATCATACACATAGACACACACATCAAAAAAAAAAAAAATAGAAAAGAAAGAAGTCCTAAGTTGTGAATTTGATTTTAAATAGCAGGCTCCAGCTGTCTTTTCCTGTTCAAAGTGTATAGGGACAGTGACTTTGGGAAGCAGGGTGGTGAGGAAGGCTGTATAGGGAAAGCCTATGCAAGCCATAAGCATCCCTTACAGACAGGGCTTTCATGCCTAAAGCACTATGTGAACTTCTCATGTGTATGTATGTGGGTGATGGTCTCACACCAGAATTGTCTGTCTTCTCCATCCTTGGCTTGCTCAGCTGGAGGCCCTCAGTCCACTAAGAAAATGGTATCTGGATCATTCTTAAGCTCTTGCAACTCCTCTACCTCAATTAGCTTCTGTGCTCTATTGAATGGGAATGTGACTTGTAGGCAGCCTTATTCTCAATAATTACAACGAAGAGCTTGATTGATCCCAAGAAACACCACAACACAGAGTGGCTGTGTTGGCTTCTTGCTGAACAAAAAGAGCAAAGTTTCCAGGCAACTTGTAGCAGGTGCTACTTATCCTCCTGGAGCCTAAGGTCATACTGAGACCAGCTGGATCACCCAAGCTGTTTCTCTCTGCCTTTCCCAGCCATCCATCCACATCATTTGGAGTCATGTTACTTCATGCATGTGAGACAGCACAGCCCAAAGGTTTGATGCCAAGAATTAGAGCAGTGGTATCAATGGGATCCTAGCTTTGGGTATGGCAAGTGCTCTTCCAGGCAGATCTCCTGGTTCTCAGCATCCGCCTTATCTGCTCTACTGCCCTAGCCCTCTTGTTGGGTCCTCCCTGTCAAACCACAATGGGTGCAGGGATAAGCCAGCTTTCCCCATAGTGACCCACAAGCTCTGCCATGCTGAAAGAGGGCTCTGAGTTGCAGCAAGACATCTGTGCTTCCTCCATGGCCCGATGTGTTGGTCTGCTATGGTCCCATGTCTCCAGAGTTGTGTAATGTGAATGATTTACTTGTGAAGACCCAAGTGTTTTAACTCCCAGTGTTTGTAACTATTTTTCTTTTTCTCTTTTTTCTCTCTGCTTCCTTGGAAGGCTGATGACACCTACCTCCAGCTGAAGAAGGACCTGGAGTACTTGGATCTAAAGGTGGGTGGTGGGGCTGGAGAGATGACTCAGTGGTTAGGAGTACTTGCTGCTCTTGCAGAGGACCCAGGTTCAGTTCCCAGCACCCACTGCAGGCAGTTCATCCAATTCCCTCCGGCCTCCTGCACCCACATGCACATGGGGCAATAAGCTCACACAGGCACACACACTTCTCCTAAATAACTATAATCAGCCTTTGAAGGTGTGTGGCATCAGGATCCCACCTCCTGTGGACACTCATATTTCTGAGAGTATTAGCTACTAAAGTCCAACATTCACACTCCAGACCCTAAGTGAAAATTCTTGTTTGAATCAGAACTTCATCACTTACAGTCTGACTCTTGTGAAGTTGCTCTTGAGCCCTGGTGGGAGGTTTCTGGCTTAGAGAATGAGGGTCATGATTTGATCTTTTCCTTCCCTTGGTTAGACCCAGAGGTTCCTGGGAAATAGTCATTGGCTTCCTCAGAGCCTTTGCTGCTGGTGGGAGTGTGTTTGGTTCATAAGGAGTACCTGATGTGTGTTTTCAGCCACAAGTGGCTTGGTGGGTCCTTTGGGTTTGTTGATGAATCAAGTTCCACATAGAGCCATGGGGCTTTGAGGCCTGTCTGTAGGCTTTCCCTATCGAGCTAAGCTCTAGGAGCCTGTACATGCTTAAAGCTTGGGTTCTGGCTCAGCCTTCACGACAGAACTGAAAGGCTCCTGGAGAAATGGTATGCATTCTTCCCTGGAAAAAGCTGCTACCTTGCCACAACCCTGCACATTCCCTCTGAGGACAGTTCTTCTCATGCTGGGGCTTGGAACAGACTGGAGGAGAGTAACTTTAGTCAGCCCAGGGAGGGAAGGGGCCTGTGGATCATGCTTATCGCCACTGCACTAGGTGCCTGGCTTGAGATGTTTCTAATGCAGGCATCTTCTTCTAGTCTCATGGGGCTCAGTTGTAAATATGAGCTCCTAAAGCAGCAGGTGGGAGTTTTCCCAAGCCAACAGCCCACCAAGGCCTTTGGCTAGATATCCTCCAGTTTTCTTATGCATCTGTTAAACACTTGCTGAATGCCCAGCTCTACAAAAGACAAGAACAGTTGCAAAAGAAAAACTGAGGCCCTAGTCATAAGAAATTTCAAAGTAGTATGGGCTGGGGAAAGAAAATATTACCAAATGATAGTATATACAGTGATCATACAAAGATTTATTTGGGCTGGGCGTTGCTGGCGCACGCCTTTAATCCCAGCACTCAGGAGGCAAAGACAGGAGGATCTCTGTGAGAGAGGCCAGCCTGGTCTACAGAGTGAGTTCCAGGACAGGCTCTAAAGCTACAGAGAAACCCTGTCTTGAAAAACAAACAAAACAAAACAAAACAACCCCCCCAAAAAAACTCAAACAAACAAAAAAACAAACTTTTTTTTTTGCCTCAATTCTGAGTTGGAGTCATGAGAATTCCTATGGGCCATGAGAAAGGATTCTGAGGAAGCAGGAAACATGAACAAAGCTTTGAGGAATCATGACTTGGAGTAGTTGTTAGGAAATAGGTGAGGACAGGACCAGAGTAAGTCAAAGAAAGCCAGAGCACAGTGGTGAGATTAGAGCCATGAGGTGAGGTGGAAACCTTATGCTGACTCCTAATTCTGTCGTAGGCCTTAGGAAGGCTCAGTGAGCACAGAGATTAAAGAAGGAGAAACTGAGGCACAGGCTTCGCAGCAAGAATTCCTGTTTGTGCAGACTCCAACAGAAGCTTGAGTAGTGATGGCCCATGTAGTGTATTTTACTTTATTGCATTAGCTTGCACAGTAGCCCTATAAGGAAAGTAAATTACTTTCTCAAGGCGACACTGGAGACAGAGATAAATTGGGGTCCAGTGTTTACTCTGAAGCTCACATTCACCTTGCGACCAGCCTTTGATAACACGTCATTTGTGCTGCTATTGTTCCAAAGGCATTAAACTTTTGGGGGAGCCAAGCTTGGGTTCCAATGGCAGAGAATGGGTTTGATAGGCTGGAGAGGCAAGTTGTATCCATTGGTGCTTCTCTAGCTAGGAGCGATGTCACCCGAGGAGGTAGTCTGGATGCTGACATTGTTTGTCATGAGAACAGCTGGACTTGTAGCCAGATTTTCCTGGTTGTGCATCTGCTACTGTAATTACTGAGCTCTTCTCAGGGAGCTAGTCCCTGGATGAACCTCTTGTAGCTGGAAGAGGCTTGACTCTCCCACTGCCCATGTGAGAGAAGATTCTAGATTGTGTGTGCAGTGTTGACCAGAAAGGCTAGTGTGCCTCCATGGCTCCCACCAGAGGGCAGGGACCTGCCCTGCCCTGCCCTGCACAAACTTAGAAATTGGATTCTAAGAGGAGTGACCAACTGCAGGACCCAGAGCCCAGGGTTGAGGGCCTCCAGATGAATATGTTTACAGATGTTCAAAGACTAAATCAGTCTGCTAAATCTAAAAGTGTCGTTCCAATTTCCATTGTCTGGGGTAGTGGTACAGGGGGTTAACCACATGTCACTGCTCCGCTTATCTTGAATGCCGATGTCCCCTTCCCCTGCGAACTCAGGTCTCCTCTTCCCCCAGCATCTCTCTGGAACCAGGGAGGATTTCCATGGTGGGAAATGTGCCTGTGAGAAGACTCACAGTGGTAGCTGCACAGCTGTCATGCAGTGACAGGGAGTTAGGGACAATTTGGAAGAAATGAAGTTAGGCTGTAGAGCTCTGTGGCATCACCCTGTGTTTTCTGTGGCTCTAAAGAGGATTGAGCCCAATAGATGGCAGCTACAGGCAGACAGGGTTCAGTTGGTAGAAATGCTTCTCTGAAAGGTCCTTCTCTATAGTGGTGAATGTCCTGTCACTGGGCTACATGGATTGGAACTCCAAGACATATTGGTTTTGTGGATGCTATGACATGCTGGGTGGAATGTCCTTGAAATGAGGGGAGGGGGGGTGAATGTGGCACTGCAGGAAGAGACAGAACAAGAAGAGGTCACACACCTAGGAAAGTGGATGTACCTGAGTAAGACCTGAAGACCATTCTGGCATGGGAGACAAGCTCAGCCTCTCTAGGATCAACTTCCTGTTTCTATTCCTGTTCAAAGTCATGTGGGGCAAGCACCCTAACACTGAGCCATACTCAATTATGTCACCAACTCTCTTCTTACTTTTTGCTTTAAGACAAGGCCTTACTATTAATAAATTCCCTGACTAACGTTGAGTTCATTTTATAGCCCAGGCTGACTCCAAACTTGCACCAGCCATTCAGGTAGCTGTGATAACTGGTCTGTGTCACTAAAGTTGTGTGTGTGTGTGTGTGTGTGTGTGTGTGTGTGTGTGTGTACAACCCAGGGTCGTGTGCTTGCTGGGCAGATGCACCACCACCACTTCTCTATCCCCAGCCCTCGAACAAGCTTTTCTAGAGACTTCCCCTTCCCACATCTGATCTTCTGATCCCCTAACTCTGCTATGTTGACTTAGGCCCTTTCATGTTCTTGTCCCAAGAGCTAAGGATCCAGGGCCCATCCACCCCTCTGATTGACTAACGCCCAGTTTCCTGGTGGTGGTTTCTCCCTAGTACCTTGGGTTGGTTTTCCTCCCTCAGATGAATATTGTTGCTCTGGGGCCAGGTGATCAGCTGAAGGTGGCTCTTAGAAGATGTTCTTAGCTAGCGTGTTTTGGGGTGTGCTTGCTTCTCTGACCTTCTTTCTCTTGGTGATGACAGGGTAGAAAGGACTGAGCAGTGATGAAACTTCTGTTCTGCCTGGCAGTATGGGCATTTGGTTCATTTGTATTTTAATTCTCCCAGTAACCCTGAGTAACCGGAATTACTACCCCTACACTGTTAACCAAGGACCTGTCTGAAAGGCATTATGGGACTCCTTTAAAGTTCAAGACTGGCACTGCCTTCAGCCCTGAATTTGTCATCTTTGGGCTGTGTTTCCATCATGGCTTCAAAAAGTGGGCTGTGGTGGGGTCGCTGTTATCCATAGTATTTAAAATTATTCTTTTAGATAGAGTCTAATAGTGTTGCTGAATTTGTTCTCAAGTACCTGGACTCCTGAACTATGGATGTGTGTCTGTGTTCCTGACTTTGGGTTATTTTTATACAACTGTGAAACACATTCACACAAGGTTGAGCAGGGTATGTTCGGCTGCTCAGGCAATGTCTTTGTAGATACAGAAGGTTACCTTCAACCCCAGGGAGTCCCAGGGAGTGTGCCATTGCCGGCTTCACATCTGTAGCACTTTGGACTCTCTCTGACAGTTTGAGCCTGAGATCAGGACTTGTCTTTTTCCAAAGTCAGCTTCTGGGGCAGAGTTTTTTTAGGTTGTTATCTGGGACATCAGCTATTTCTAGGACACCTAGGAACTTGATTTTTAAAAATATAGATCTGAGCCAGGTATGATGATACACACCTGTGGTCCCAGCTTCTTAGGGAACTGAGACAGGAGGATCATTTGAGCCTGTAAATTAGGGGCCAGCCTACAGATCATAGTGACTTCCTAAAGAATTTTTTTTTACAGGTGTTGGTGGTGCACACCTTTAATTCCAGAATTTGGCAGAGGCAGGTGGATCTCTGAGTTCGAGGCCAGCCTGGTCTACAGAGTGAGTTCCAGGACAGCCAGGTCTACATAAAGAAGCTTTATCTTGAAAAAACATTTTTTTGCCCTGCATTGGTGGTGCACGCCTTTAATCCCAGCACTCAGGAGGCAGAGGGAGGCAGAGGCAGGCAGATCTCTGTGAGTTTGAGGCCAGCCTTGTCTCCAGAGTGAGTGCCAGGATAGGGGGGGATAAAAAAAAACCCCCTCTCCCAAAAAAAAAAAAAAAAAAAAAAAAAAAAGAAAGAAAGAAAGAAAAAAAGCTGGACATGGTTGCTTACACCTTGAATCCCAGCACTGAGATGCAGAGGAGGGTGGAGCTCTGGGAGCTTGAGGCCAGCCTGGTTTACATAGGGAGTTCTAGGACAGCCACCAAAGTTTCCCATAGATAATTTGCCTCAAATAACATATAAACGAACTTTAGA